ATTTCCTTGAGGAACATCATGGTAAATGCGTGCGTTTGGGTAAAAGGGCCGGTGGAAGGGGCGAGCTCAGGCCGCAGCAGCACAAGCACCAGACTTTTTTTCTTTTCTTTTTTTCCTTTTATTTTCTTTTTTTCCTGTCATTTTTTCCCTTTTTTCTTTTTATTTTTTCCTTTTTTTTTTTTTCATGACCAAACTATGAACCTCTCTATGTTGTTCAGCTGAGAGGAGATTCACTGCCAGGGCCTGGGGCCAGGGATCGCCCTCATCACAGCTGCTCCCCAAACTTGACCTTGATGGTCCCCACAGGTGGGTTCCCAGCCCCCTCTGTGCTAAGTGGGTGTAGCAGGGCTGGGTAGACCAGGGGGTGCTGCCTTTCTCTCCTGCTCACCTTGGGGTACCCCCATGAAGAGTCTGGAGAGGAACCCAGAGCCTGGCTCGCTACCTGACACTGACCGACTACCTTGGTTTGAGATTGATCAGGCAGCAGCAGGCACAAGTGAAGACAGCCCCCCTAATACGTGTGGCTCAGGCCAGGAGCTCTCCTGATAATGCCATCACCCCCAGACACTGGGGGATCCCAGGATTTGGGGCCTTTTCTGCTGCAGGTTCGGTACATCTCACCTGCCCCTGCGTCTTCCCTCTGCCCACTGCAGATAGGTGGCTCTGTGCCTGAGCACATGGCCTCTCACAGGCCCACTGGGAACCCACCACACCTGTCCGTCCATCTCCACACCAAGAGCTGCCACCACTCCCCTCCCAGAGCCACAAAGCCGGTAAATGTCACTTGATGTCTACAAAGATAAAGTCGGAGTGTTATTTCGCTTCCCGGGGACCTGAGATCAAAAGAGAATCTTCCTGACAGCATTACGGTGGGATTTTGTGAGCTAATGATGACCTTGAGGTGCCTAGCCAGGGCACAGACAGGGCTCGGAAACCGTTCGCTGTGTGGTCACTGCATTATTGCCTTCTTACTACGACTGCGTGTCAGGTGGTGTGGAAACCTTGGGACAGTCTTCCCTTCACATAGCCATGCGTTACTGTGCACCCATGCCCTGACGCTTGGGTGGCGAGAGCACTGGTCACCACGTGGACCCTGTCCTTGCAACGTGCTGTAGCCAGAATTCGTTTTGCATCCACGGGTCTCCCATGGAGTTCTGTTCCCTCAGGCACTGCACTGTATACAATTTTAAGTGCACCCTGCATGGAACCCATTGCAGGGCACACACAGTGTACGTGTACCCTAGGTTTTATGCTCACAGAGCCTGCAGGACTCTGTGTCTGGAATACGTTATTTGGTGCACACCTCCCAGAGCAACATGTAACGTGTGTAACATGCTATCCTGCACACATCTGAAAGATTCTGTGTACATAACACTATTATGCTGTGCACACATTTGCTCATATTCTGTGTAGAAAGCACCTCATTTTGTGACTCAAATATTCGGTTTCCATAACAAGTTGCATTGCTCACATCTTAAAATATTCATTAGGCGTGAAACCGCCGCATGGTACCGACATCCTTCTGGATTGTCCCGCACAGAGGCTCATATATTTGCACAGTTCTCGCTGTTCTGTGCGCCCAGCCACTCACATTGGACGTCCACTTCACACTCTTCTGCCAAGGGAGACCTAGGTTCTTCCCTTCCCTGTGCTGGCTGTGCGGGCCACAGTTCTCTGCACGCCAGCAGCATGACCCATGCACATCTAGAGTGTGCGAGGAGTATCTCAGGTATCTGTACACAGATCATCTTATAATCCACTCGCTGGACCTGATATTTCCCCACAGTCCCCTAGTCCCCAGGGCTGCACTTTCACCCACAAATATACCTCCCGCTCCCCTCCGCCGGCCGTGGAGTTTCGTTTCCCCCTGCCGGGTCCTCCTTCCCTCCCTTCCGAAGCCCCCAGGACAGGCCGCTTCCCTCCCGCCTAGCTCCCGCGTCGGGTCCTGGCTGGCCGCCCTACCTTGAGGCGTCGTTTGAACCTGGCCTCGCAGGGGGTTGGAGGGAGCGGGGGCGAGGAGGGCGCGGGCTCTGCGTTAATGCCGAGCAGGGGCGGCGGCGGCCGGCGGGGCGGCTGCCCTCGCGGTGGGTGGTCGGCGGCCCCCTGCCCCGCCCGCGCGGCCGGCCCGGGCTCCCTCGGAGCGGGATCTGGTTCCCCGCTCGGGTTACGGCGCGCTCTCGGCCCGGGCGGCTTCACTTAAGCAATTAGCTAGTAAAAATACCTTGGGCCTGGGGAGTGGGAGACGTCGCAGGCGTGTCTGTTTTTACACACCCCCGCCAACCCCTCTCTGCCAATTTCAGGATTCCTGGGGCCGGAGCTGGGGCGCAGATTTGTTTTGGGGTGGGAGGGGGCCGGCCTTCATGGATTTTAATCCAAGAGCAAAAGGCTGCCGGCGATCTCTGTCCCTGTCTGCATTTTCTCCTCCGTCCCTGGAACTGAGCCCTTGGGGTTTTTGTTTCTGTTTGTACAACCTAAGCCTTCCGCGCATGGTCTTGTCCAACCCTCCGTATGACCCTAAGAAATAGGAACCATGATGAGTTCCATTTTTCAGATAAAGAAACTAAGGCACAAAGAGCGTGTGCATCATCCCTACGTGGTGGGGTGAGTTCAAATTCCCCTCCCTTTGGGGTTCAGGGCAGAGCGACCCCTCTGCCCTGGGCACCGCCGGACCTCACCCTGTGGTCAGGACACTTAACGCCCTGGTTCTGCAATCAGGCCAGGTTTGGATACTGGCTCTGTAGGGTGACCTAGGATCTGGAGTGACCTCGCCGAGCTCCATCTGTGAGGGAAGAGGGAGATTATACTGACTTGGTAGGGGCATCGGGGAATATTAAGCAAGTTTCTTAGGGACATTTAACCGGGGTCCTGTGTTCATGGTTGGTGCCTCACAGGTTCACAGATGGGCTCCAGGCATTTGGTGAAACCTTCAAAATCATTCTATGAATGTCACAAATATGCACCTTCTGGGGGTGGGGGCAGGTCTGACTAGTTTTCAAAGAATTGACAGCCAAGAGGAAGGTTAGGAGCAGACAAGGGCAGTTTGTGGAGTGAGGAGCAGCGCCTGGTGCCTGGGCAGCAGTGGATGAGCCTACTATTATCACAGTATTTGTAGTTGTCATTGCTATTTTATCACCATCAGCTCTCCAATGGGGCTCTCTGTCCCCTTGGGCCTGGGAAGCCAGGGCTGTGTGGTGACAGCAGAGGCATTTCTTTTCTAAGCCCCACTCTCTCCACTCCCAACCTACACAGAGGCACCCGGAAGAGTGAAAAGCCAGGATATTTTGTCCTTGGGCGTACAGAGGGCAGACAGAGAGATGTTCACCTCTCAGCGCTGGCTGATGAGTGCCAAGTCCATGCTGGGCCTCAGTTTCTCCATCCTAAAAATGTAGGGTTAAGGGAGACCTCTCAGGGACATTTTGAGAGCCGAGAATGCAGTCTCTGGGCATGAAGGAAAGCCCTTCTTGCGACGACTGTGGTTTTCCCCAGAATTCAGGGGGTCCCCTCCAAATTACAGAGTTGGGAGCTAATTACCCTCCTCTCTCACGCCCCCACTTCTACACACACCCAGCAGTAGAGATTAGCAGTTGAGGAGAGCTTCCATCTTTGGCTTTCCTGAGACTTCCAGGCCTACTGGGCCGGCTCTTACCCTGGACTCCATAGCTGGCTGGCCTGTAAGATCTGGCTTACTGTCAGAGCGGGTGAAAGGGTAGAAAGAAGGGTGGAAAGGGAGAATAAAAGGATCTCCGGGTTAGCCAAAGATGAGACCTGCTGCTTCCCTTCCCCAACTGAAGAAGGCCCAAGAGTGAAGGAGGCTGCTGGGAAAGGGCTCCCCAAGTTCATGCTTTAGAGACCCCCTCACTTTGAAGGTGCCCCATGAGTGGGGGAGGGGCGAGGGGAAGGAAGAATGTTATTTCCACTTGCAGAGAGCCCCAGGGTGCGTCCTGCACCCCTAGCTGGCTTAAGAGCCGTGCAGCTTCCCTGCTCCCCTCTGCTAAAGGCCAGATGTGCTTTGGCAGTCGGCAGTAGCGACCCCTTCCTGGGAACAGAACTTTCCTCCGGAGGCCAGGGTCTCCTCATCTGCAACTGCCATTTGCCAACCAAAAAAAAAAGAAAGAAAGAAAGAAAGAAAAAAAGTGGGGAGAGTAGAGAATGTGAGAATGCGTGTGTGCGTGGGCGCGTGTGCACGTGTGGAGTGGCGGTACTTATGATTATTTGCGCGCGGCGTCTGGCTATGCGTGGGCGAATGCGCAGTGCAGAACACGTGGGCGTGCATGAGGTGTGCACTTAAGCCAAAGTGTGCCCTCCCCATTGGGCAGGCCTGTGTGTTGGTCCAAGGGTTGGGGGGCGCCTGAGCTGTGAGGGTCGCTGGGAAGGGTGTTCGAGGCCGTGGGCCGTGTGGAGCGTATCTGTGTCCGCGGAGGCTGAGCTGATTGTGTGAAGTGGAAGCGGGTCTGCCAGAAAGCGTTTACCTGCATAAATGCACAACCACACACTACGGGTCACGTCCCACACTCATTCTTTCCCTAGGCGGGCCAGGCTCTCTGAGCGCGGAGACCCAGAGAGGCCAGCGGAAGGACAGCGCGAAGGCGACTCTCTTCTCCCGCGAGCGCGGATCTGGGGGAGGAGGCGGCGACAGCCCGGCAGGCTGCTCCGGCGAGCCCCCCAGCTCCTCGCACCGACGTGCCAGGCGCCCCGAAGGCGACAAGGAGTCTCCCGCCGAAAATGAAGGCGTCCGAGCAAGGAAGGTGGGGGCGGGTAGTTAGCGAAAGACAAGGAATCCGGAGAAACCGAGAGGCGGGTGGGCTTTGAACGCGCCGCGCCGCGGGCAGTGCTGCGAGCCCGGCACACGCCTCTCGCCCCAGCTCGCGCTGGGGCTTGGCCTCTAGGCTCCTCGCGATGACCCGCGAAAACACCCCTCACCCCCCTCTTCCCAACCGGGAACCCTGGAGGGAGAGGCCGGGCCCGGCACCCAGCAGTCGGTGCGAGAGAGCAGCACTCACCTGGGTCTGTGCGCACAGCGTTGCGCCGGGGCTCCTGCGCAGTCCTGCGCTCGGCACTCCGCACCACCTTCCCTGGCTCCACCGCCCCAGCCCGCACCCTAGGGCTGAGGTGGCAAGGGCAGGTCTGCGTGCGAGCCCCCTGCGGGCTGGCAGCCAGGCGCGCGAGGGCCGCCCTGGCCCGCGCTCCCCGCCCTCGCTGTCTGCTCTCAGGAACCTGGCCTGGCGCGCAGTGTCAGAGGCCCCCGCGGCGGCGGCAGGCCGAGCCCACAGGGGCATTAGGCCAACTCCCCCCTCCCGCGCTGCGCACGCGGAATTCTCTATTATTATTATTAAAGAATCCCCCAGAACTTGTTTACTTTAAACCCTGTAAACTTCCTGCCAGGGCCTTTGCCATCTCTCGGGAAATCGGAACCTGTGCTTTGAAAATGGGGGCCGCGGGGCCAAATAGGCGGGTTTTCAGTGTGTGTTGGGAGTGGGGGAGGGCAACTGAACTACGTGTGAGTTCAGATTCGAGTGTGGCGTGTGTACGCGTGAGTGGGAGTGAGTGCGAACTTAAGCTCCTGTGGGCCTTAAGCTTCTGTGTCAGCGAGCGCATTAATGGGTGCGCACATGCCTGAGCGCCCTCTGCACATGAGTGTGCACACACGCATGGGTGTGTTTACACGTCTGTTTGCGTAATTTACCGGGTTTGCATGTGCATCAAGACATGTATGTGTGTGCTAACGTGTGCACAAGAGCGCGAGGGTGTGCGGGCATGGGTGAGTGACTGAGCACGCAGCTTGTTCCGGGGCCTGTGCGGTTTGGGTCGCCGCTGGGCCAGCGGGTTCTCACTCACCCCCATCAGGCCCGCGGCACCCGAGACAAAGCGGCCGCGACTCGTGCTGCGCTTTCGTTTTCCGCCTGCGCTCTGCCCCGGCGGCTGCCCGCCCGCTCGCAAGCTGCTGGGCGAGTCCGAAAAATCCCGGGCGCTGCACAGTCCTTCCCGGGGCGGGGAGAGTGGGTAGGCGGTCCCTCGCGGGAACTTACGCCGGCCGGCCGAGAGGACCGGAGTCGAGCCGGCTGTGCCCGCGATGGTCACGACCGGGAGGCCACCGCACTTGCGATTTGCCACAGGGCTGTGCGCGTCGGGGAAGGCCCTGGCCCAGAGCGCGTTTCCCGCCGCGCCGCCCGGGCGGGGAAGGCGGGGTCCAGCGCGCATCGGGGCTGAACCGCGGGCGGAGGGCGCATTAACACTTGCTGGCCAGGTTGGTGGAGGCGGGGCGGATTTTGTTGGCGGCCGCGGGGCGGCGAGAGTGGGGGCTCTTTAAGCGCCCACCAACGCGGGGGCCCGAGGGGGGCAGGGACGGAGGGAGGGAACTCCGGGAGGGTCTTACGCCGACCTCGAGACGCCGCCGAGCGGAGGTGAAGTGAAGGCTCTCTCGGCCGGAATCTCTCAGCCGAGCGCCGCGGGCGGCGGGGACCCAGGGCTGCTCCCGGCTGGGGCGCACGGCCGTAAGCCCTGGAGGTGGTGCCTCCCCCACAAAAATACCGGCGGGGGTAGCCTCCTCACGGCCTCCGCCTGGGCTGCCCTCTGCCTCAGCTCGGCTTCTTTCCTTGTGGGAGGGCGAGAGAGAAAGAGGGAGGAGAGAGGTGGGGGAGGCGGGAGTTGGAGAGAGAGGGGCTCTGAGCCAACCGCCGGCGGATCCAGCAGCTCCTTGGGGAGGGCGGGCGGGAGCGCGGGGGCGGGCGCGCAGCGGCTCGCTCGGGAGAAGTGGCCGCCGATGACGGCAGAGGTGCAGCCAGCCCCGCGCGCGCAGCCCCCTCCCCCTCGCCCTCTTCCCCCCCCTCGTCCTCTTCCTCCTCCTCCTCCTCCTCCTCCCGGCCCGTCCGCGGCGCAGAGCAGCGGCGGCAGCGGCGGCGGCGGCAGCAGCCACCCGATGTCTTCGGCGCCCGAGAAGCAGCAGCCACCGCACGGCGGCGGCGGCGGCGGCGGCGGCGGGGGAGGCGGCGCGGCCATGGACCCCGCGTCGTCCGGCCCGTCCAAGGCCAAGAAGACCAACGCCGGCATCCGGCGCCCTGAGAAGCCGCCCTACTCCTACATTGCGCTCATCGTCATGGCCATCCAGAGCTCGCCCACCAAGCGCCTGACGCTCAGCGAGATCTACCAGTTCCTGCAGAGCCGCTTTCCTTTCTTCCGCGGCTCCTACCAGGGCTGGAAGAACTCCGTGCGCCACAACCTCTCGCTCAACGAGTGCTTCATCAAGCTACCCAAGGGCCTCGGGCGGCCCGGCAAGGGCCACTACTGGACCATCGACCCGGCCAGCGAGTTCATGTTCGAGGAGGGCTCCTTTCGGCGGCGGCCGCGCGGCTTCCGAAGGAAATGCCAGGCGCTCAAGCCTATGTACAGCATGATGAACGGGCTCGGCTTTAACCACCTCCCGGACACCTACGGCTTCCAGGGCTCGGCCGGCGGCCTCTCGTGCCCGCCCAACAGCCTGGCGCTGGAGGGCGGCCTTGGCATGATGAACGGCCACTTGCCGGGCAACGTGGACGGCATGGCCCTGCCCAGCCACTCGGTGCCCCACCTGCCCTCCAACGGCGGCCACTCGTACATGGGCAGCTGCGGCGGCGCGGCGGCCGGCGAGTACCCGCACCACGACAGCTCTGTGCCCGCCTCCCCGCTGCTGCCCACCGGCGCCGGCGGGGTCATGGAGCCGCACGCCGTCTATTCGGGCTCGGCGGCTGCTTGGCCGCCCTCGGCCTCCGCGGCACTCAACAGCGGCGCCTCTTACATCAAGCAGCAGCCCCTGTCTCCCTGTAACCCCGCGGCCAACCCCCTGTCCGGCAGCCTCTCCACGCATTCCCTGGAGCAGCCGTATCTGCATCAGAACAGCCACAACGCCCCAGCCGAGCTGCAAGGTGAGTGGGGAGGCCGAGGGCGTCCTGGTCCCCGGGAAGTCGAATCTGAGTGGCAGCGGGACCCAGCCAGGGGCGAGCCCCTGCACTTCTGTGGTCGGAACCCCAAGGCTGAGGGGAGGCACCAGCTCCCCAAGGTGCCTCTTTGCCCCACCTCTCCCCCTGTGAAGAGTGACTACCTTTCTTGAGCCTAGTTTGGGCCAATCTGTTTCTCTTTCTGTTCCAACTCCAGCTGCCAGCTGCTCCAGGCCTGACCAGGTAGGCCGGTCCTTAGCAAGATTTCCCAGACCCCAGTGCCCTAAAGTCCTTTTGTGTCCCTTAAGTCCCTTTACACTTTGGAAAGGTCCTGGGATGGACCTAAGGCTCCCAGCCCTGGCCAGATGGCCCTCCCTCCCCGGGGGTGGCCCTCACATTGCCTGGAGAGCTGCCTCTGCTTGCGGCTGGGCAGAACGGAAGAGTTAGGCCCAAAGCCGCTGGGCCAGCGCTCAGAGGCTCAGCCCCGGCCTTCAGGGGACCGGGTTTGACAGAGCCACAGCTGAGTCCAGGGGCATTTTGTGGTGAGGGAGGCAGGGCGGTGCGTGACCAGGGCCCAGAGGGTCAGAGCTGCAGGCTGGGCCATGGGGGCTCCATTTTTTTTAGGATCCAAGTTTTCGGGCCTCCACACCCTCAACACCCCTGATACCCCAACACCCCAAACATACAGAAGCATCTGCCAAGGGAGATGCGGCAGCCTCGCCTCCTGATTCTGCCCCAGGTTCCCCGCAGCCTGCAGGCCCAGCTCTGGTAAAAGCTGGAGTGAGCTCGCCAGGGCCCATCCAGGGTCAGCTGTCAGCAACCCCAGGAGGCAGGAGGCAGGAGGCAGGAGGCAGGCCTGGAGGCCTTAGGCAGCCTATCCGTGGCGGACTTCTCCGCTCCGGGGCCTGTTCTCTGGAGAAGCTGCTTCTCACCCCTGCTGCCGGCCTGGTCTGGCTCCGCACTGGCCTCTCCTTCCACCCGGCCGGCAGTGGGAGCCTCTGAGGTCGGCGGGGGGCGGGGGAGGGGGCTGCCCTGGCGGTGACGGCCGTGAGAGTTAGGGGCCCTCCGCTTAGCCTCCCTCACCACTTCCCCCTGGGCCCCTGCACGGGGTCCGAGGCTGGACAGGCACGCAGCAGGCAGGCACTGCGGGGAGCGAGGCCGTGGCAAATGTTCTGGAGTCTTTTCCTTGGGTGCGCAGCAGGAAGGCCGGGAGGAGGGCGGGTAGGCCGCCGTGCTCCGGAGCCAGGCTGGCAGGCCTTGTGCGCCCCAGGAGCGCTGCTCCTCCGCCTGAACTCTGAGCCACGGTGGCTAACTCTTCTGCTCCCCCAACCCCTCCTGTCGCCTCGCCTTGCAGGCATCCCGCGGTATCACTCGCAGTCGCCCAGCATGTGTGATCGAAAGGAGTTTGTCTTCTCTTTCAACGCCATGGCGTCCTCTTCCATGCACTCGGCCGGCGGGGGTTCCTACTATCACCAGCAGGTCACCTACCAAGACATCAAGCCTTGCGTGATGTGAGGCCTCCGCCGCCGGCCCTCCTGGTGCAGGCAGGCGGGTCACAGGGACCCTGGACGGGCACAAGAAACTGCTTTATTCTCGAGGTATAACCGTCGGCAGAAAAAAAGGGTTCCACCCCTCCGCAACAGGAGTATTTGGCAAGGAATCCCCAACGCAAAGACACTGCGCTGCGGTTGGCACCTCCGTCCTCACTCCCTCAAAATTGTTAAGAAATGGTAGTGGTGGGTCTGATCCGACTGCAGCCGTTGGTAGATAAAGGTTTTTGATCCTGTTGAACCCGGCTGAGACGGTGCTGTGCAGGGGAAGGCCTTCCGCATCCACACAGGCATTCTGCTGAGGTCCCCTCTCCTTCCGGCCAATGGCAGAAGGGGAGGAAGATTTTTAGAAGAAAGGCAAACATGTGAGACCAATCATTATCAAATACTTTTATTTTTTGGTTGAGTATTTATCTTTTTATTTTTTATTTTTTTTGAAAGAATGTCTTGGAATACGCAAGTCTCCCTTTAGAGCTGTCTTTTCCGGGGAGCGGGAGGGGACAAGAGCTCGGATCTCCCTCCCGATCTCCCTCCCCACCTCGGAAGTCTCCTCCTTGGACCGCAGGTGGATCTTTGTGCGAACAACTTGCATTTCGGAAGCCACTGTCCGTCTTTAAACAGAAAATTGAAGGAGCCACGAAGCAAGCGGCCGTCCGGGCGTCTGCCTCCGTCCCCTTCCACGTTCCTCTTCTTCCTTCGCTTCAGCCTTTTCTGTTATGTTTTGTCTTGAATTTTATTTAGACTTTTTCAGTGAGTATTTTTCTCTCTCCCAACCTCTACTGTAAACTTTCTGGTCCGAGAACGAGCCGAACACAGCGCGACGCAGGGACTAGGACGGCCCGGTGACCGCGCGGATTCAGGATTGCGGGGACGCAGAAAGGTTAAGGCACTTTTAAAAACTATAGCAAGGCTCCTGTTTATTTATTCTACTTTCTTTCCCTAATAACCAAAACACCGCGTAGGCTCCTCCGTTTATCAGTATTAATGGTGTAACTTGTTGGCAATATTTGCCGTGTAGAATTTTTTTTTAGATATCCATTGTAAATTTGAAACAAAGACCGATCTGTGTAAAAACAAATTTCCATATGTTTTATATAAATATATATATAATATGAAGGACTACCCTCCCTCCTTTTTTTTTTTTTTTTTTTTTTTTGTATTTTGGCTGCTAGAGTGCAGCATTTGTGACACGGATTTGAAATTTGAAATTTCCTTCTGCACTGTAGAAAAGGACCATTTGAGGATGTTTTGCCTTTTGTGTATTTTTTCCTAAAAAAAGAACAAAAATAAAAATGTATAACATTTGTACATGGCCTTTAAAATTGTATCAACTAGAAATAAAATTGCATGAGTATTTTATTGGGATTGAGATTGCAGAATACCTTACAGACTCCCAAAGATAGAGTGGGGGAAAAAAACAGGCTTTGGATCTCTAGACTTTTAAAAATTTTGGGTGATTCTGAATACTGTTTTCTTTTTTGGCAAATCCTCCTCTTTTCACTCTTCATTCCACTTTGAAGTAAATGTTGGACAAGAGGAACTATTTTTCTTGGCTTCTGTTTTTTAAGAAGAGCCCTTTGCCCCTCTAAATGTCATTGATCGTTTTAAAGAAATAATCAAACGTTTAAAGAACACTGTAGACCTCCTTCCCCTAGGGAACACCAATTAAACCATATTTGTGCACATATATATGTATACACATATATGTACATATATGTATATGTGTCCATGTACATAATATATATATTTTTTGCCACTACAAGACCAATGAGAGTTTTACTTTGGCTTTCAGACTTCCTTGTTCTCTTGCTGTAGCTGTTAAAAATCATGAATCAACTTTAAGGGTTTTTTGTAGTTGTTGGTTTTGTCTTGTTCTGTTTCGGCTATTTGGTGGCTTGTTCTTGGTTTTCCCCCATAGTAAATCAAGTAAAATCTAAATGAGGCAAAAGGGCCGTTGGTGGGCCGGGTGACAGGTACCTTTCCCATCCTGTAACGTTTATCTCCTAAGTCACAGTTCGTCGCCTCTGGGGAAAAAATATTTTTTGACGCTTGTATCTTCCACTGACCACTCTCTTGCTATTCCAATTCCCGGCTAGGGAGGAAAACAAACACAGTAAGTCACATTGTTGGTGCGGCCCTTCCAGACCCACCGCAGTGTCTTGCGTCGTGGGGTCGTGAGTCTCTGAACCTGGTTCTTCTCAGAGTTGACATTTTGGACGTGGGGGTAATTTCTCCGGTGCTCTGTTACATCAAAATTATCAATAAACTCGCCTGGGCAATTAATGTCCCAAACTAACAGCTGTCTATAAAATCGAGATAAAGGGGACAAGAAAAGGCCAGCGACGACTCCATCCTTAGGGTCTCCGGGCGGGCCGAAGCGTCAGGTCAGGCTCTGCCGGGCGCACGCGCCTGGCCCTGCGCTCCGAGGGCAGGTTCGCAGCAGGCGGAGAAGGCGGTCCTCCTGGGGCGGAGGTCTTCTCTGCACCCTCCACCTCCCACCAGAGCCCGGAAAACCAGTATTGAGAAGAGTCCCCAGGCCTCCTAGCGCGGCAACGCTGCGCTCGCGTCCGGTCAGCCTCTGCAGGCTAGAGGAGCTGGGAGCCCCTCCTCTCTCCCGCAGAGGCTGCGGCCCAGTTAGGGCAGAGGCTCCGGGGAAGAGGGGCTGATTAGGAGAAACCCAACTGCGAGCTCCCAGGTTTTCTTCTGCGGAGTCTCTAGCCCCTGCACCCACTCACTTGGCGCCCTGGCGGGCCAGAGGCCCCTGTGCGCGCTGGTTTTGCATGGCTTTGGCGCCGCTGGACGAGGGTCCAGGGCGGTAGCAAAGCCCGGTTGCCTGTTCATCTCCTTGCCTTCGCTTCAGCGGGATCTCCCAGCACACCCATGTCGAGGTCTAGCGGGGCAGGAGGCACCCAGAGGGGCTTGTGTAGGAAAACCGGTACGGATTGCCCGGGGACGGTGACCGGCCTCGGTCTTCCGGCCTGACTTGCGGCCTGGGAATGAGAGGGAAAGTCCAGCCTTCCCGCAAGGAGATCCTGGCTCCAGGCAAGCCCGGAAGGGCCAGATAACGCAGGCGAAACTGCCTCCACAGCCGCGTCCGAGATTTCGCGCCGCCGCTGCTGCAGCGCGGAGACTGCGCTCGGCTGGGCTGTGTCCTCCTCGGAGTCCATTGCGTCCTGGGCTGGCACAGGGGTCGCGGGTGAAGCTCCCACCGCTGCGCGACGCCACAAAAGCGCGCCCAGCATGCGCAAGTCACAAGCTTAAATCGCGAACGGCTCCTGAGGCTGGTGCGAAATTATGCGCCCTGCGTGCGTAAAGGACCCCTAGGATCCGCTAGCACAGAGGCGTACTAGGTAGAATTAATTCATAATCGCTCCGTATTATCTTAAGGGTTTCTGTCCTGGAATAACGTAGAATTAATTCACAATTTCTTCATCTATTTTAAGGATTTTGCGCTGGAACAGGCAAGTCAAGATGCCCCTTGACATGAAATCCCCTCTGTAATAAAGCCCGGAGCAGGGGTAGGAGAAGCTTGGAGCAGGGTTTCTGCGTGTGGATTACACATCCGCGGACGCCGCAGTTCTCCGTGCGGGGCCGACGCCTTGGACGCACTCAGCTTCAGCGGCTTTCCCGTTGTAGCCCCGGGCAGCAGAAGCGCCTGGGCGGGACCTCCGGGCCCCTCAGCCCCAAGGAAGCGGGACTTCGCCTCCTGGAGCTCACCCCTAGGGCCCGTCCAGGCCAGCAGAGCCAGTCGCCCGGCAGGAAGGCGCCTGGGGTGTGGGCTTCTGATGGGAAGGCGCCTGGGTCACAGAGGTGTGCTCTGTCTGTTCTCTTTTCTCTTTGGGGCTGGAGGGGGTTGGTGGCCACAAGGGCCTGGCTCCAGGCCTTCCAGCCACCCGCCAGCAGGCAGCTTTCGCTCAAAGGAGCTCCAAAGGAGCTAGGGTTCCTCCTCTGCGGCCACCCCAACCTGAGCAAGACAAGTTGCCTCTGAGCCTCGGTTTCCTCATGGCTAATCGTACAGTCCTGGTGGACCCACGCGGGCCGTGGTTAAGAAGGCAGGTGCTTCTCAGGAGTAAAGGGGTGGCCTGGTTCCTTGGTACCCAGACAGGAGTGGCCGGTCAGACCTGGCTTTTCTCTCTGAGACATCTAGTGGGGCCAGTGTGGAGTGGTGGTAGTGCGTGTGTCTGCTTGTGGGGGGTGTGGGAACCATAAGAGGTGGAAAAATCCATATTTTACAAGGCGCTCTGCTCAGGGACTTCTGATCCCAGTGTGGGGACAGCTAAATTCCCATCTTCATGGACTTGCCCTCCCTTCCCAGGGATAAGGAAGATGGCTCACATAGCTGGACAGAGAATTTTCACAGTGGGTTAGGGCTTGGGATGCCAACATACACCAGCCACCAGAATCTCCCCAAACCTCACTGACCCCTCCTAGGCATCTGAGTCCTGCGGATGACCCCACGGGGAAGTGGGAGATCAGAAGCCCCCTGAACCCAGTGGCTTCACCTCTGATGGTAACTATCAGAGTCCAGCCCAGGAATCACCCTCATCAGAAATATCTGGGGTGTCTGTTTAAACAGCAGATTCGAGGGGTCCCTGACAGCTACTGATTGGAATCTCCGGAGGGGAGGCCCAGGAGTCCATGGTGTTCACAGATAAGCCGGGTGGTCCTGGAGAGTGCTAGTTTGGGTCTGTTCTCCCACGCTGGTCAAGATTGCTCTGAGCGGCCTCTGCTGCCCCCTCCTGCCCGCCTGCTGGATCAGGCCCATGTGTCTGTAGCAGCAGCTGGTTGAGAGAACTTGGAGGCCAGGCAAATAGGCACCATGGCCACATTTGCAGGCGTATCATGTGAACACTGGGCTGGGGCAGGCCTTCTTCCCACATGGGCATCCCAGTCCACCCCAGCTTGCTCCTGCCTCAGCTCTGCCCTTGTTACTCTACTTGTTTTGGAGGCAGACCCTGAGCTCAGGGAGGGTCAGTGATTGCTCCCGACATGGTGGGTAAGACGTGGAATTTGGACTCAGACGCAGTACTTTCTGACCTGGAAGCCTGTGTCCCTCGCCATTATTCCACACGGCGCTTGGACACCCATTTGCCTGCATCCACAGGACCTAGTGAAAAAAGGAAAGTTTACATGGGGTCCGTGATCTAGCCTCTGCTGGCTTCCGGCCTCCAGAGGAGAGGCGGCAATGGGCAGGACCACAGAGTCGGAGTCTCCGAACACGTGCTGTCAGACCCCCTCTTGCCTTCCAGCTGAGCCAGGGGGGCGCATGCAGGTGGGGCAGGAGCTGGCCTAGCAGCCAGCGCAGCTCAGACCCTGACCTTCACCCCCTCTCAGGGTTCCGACTGTGATTCACGGGTTCCACCATGGCCTGCCATGGAAGCTTCCTTTGCTTCCTGTGGTCCCCTTAGACCAGCTGAGAAAAGCTTCAGATGGAAGTGGGTGCTCAGACGAGGCCAGCTGCACAGCACTGTGGCCGCTTCCACACTGTTTATGGAAACTTCTGGGGACCAATACCTCAGAGTTCTGGGCTCTGTGTTAAGGAGGAAGGCCCTTTTCCAGCGTCTTCTGCAGCTGAACCCAGGGGCAGTGTCCTGGGCCATGTGGCCGGCAGGGTGGGGCAGCGAGGGAGGGGTCGCATCCATCCATGAAAGGATGCTGACTTGTTGTAGGGCCGAGAGGAATCACGGGCCTTTGACAATTCTATGTCTTCATGTGCTTTGGGGGTGGGCAGGGGCAGAGGAACGCCTACTATCTATAAGCATAAAACATCGTGGCAGTTGGGGGGGTCTCCGAGCTGACTCTGGCTGGAAGGCTGTCCAGTTTGCGAATTGTTCATTGCTCAATCAAGCTCTTAAATGAAATAAAAGAAAACATTGTCAGCATGAAATGACAGACGGACAGGGGGGAACCGTTGCAGAACTATCCTCTCCACACGGGGCCCTGGCTGTGTGTCCACCACCGCACTAGACTAGATTTGTGATGGACATGTTGACACATACCTGTCATCACAGATGGACCGCCCAGTGCCCTGTTGACCCAACCCACTGGCAGGGGAGCAAGCATGTGGTGGTTGCACAGCAGCTGGCATTGAGGTGGGAAAGTGTGCAGTCCCTTTTGGAGCAAATGTCCAGGTCATGTGCTGCCCAGAAGCTGAATACACAGGGCCATGCCCTGCAGGACCATCCGGCTGCTTCTGGCATCAGGACACCTGGGGTCATGTGGACACCCTGAAGAGACGACGACACAAAGGCCAGGATGACCACAAATGTCCTGAGCAGAGGCAGAAAGCTGGCCAGATGCGGTGTCTGCAGGGTCCCTGTGGTGGTCTTTCTCTCATCCTACGGCGCAGGACGCTTGCTGGCGACACAACCAAGAGGAAGCCTGGCAGAGCAGGGGCAGGGATCGCTGGGGCCAGGTGCAGGCATCCTCCCTGACTTATTTTGGACAATGTTCTATGTCCGTGGGGTGGCAGCCTAGGGAGGAGCAATACCACACGCAGGGCTCTTGAGAGTGCTGTAGTGCTGTGACCAGTCGTTGAAGGCATCTTATGGAAACCACCAGCAGCATCCAGGAAGCAGGCACGGACCCCGTGTTCCTCCCACCCCGTGTTCCCCAGCAGGTCTGGGGTCTGGGCCACCGGGAAGCATGCTGAGTCTGCAAATGTCCCTGGAAGAGGATAGCAACATTTCTGTTCTGGACACTTACCCCCAAACAGGCCGTGATCTATCAGCACATGGCATTTCCGTGAGGCAGGAAGCACTGGCCCACACGGGCTTTCTGCTGTGACTCTTCGGCGGGTCACCAGCTTGGGTGAGCAGAGAGGACTGCGCCGCCTCGGTCCAGGTGCAGGAGGCGAGCCAGCGAAGTGGGCAGGGCAAGAGGAGGCAGCCAGGGGAGGCTGGGCGAGGCCATAGCAAATGTGGGCCATGGGGACAGGAGGGACAGGAGGTCCTGGCTCACTTCCCAGGGGCCTTCGTCGCGATGCCCGCCCCAGGGAGAGAGCTCAGGGTCAGGAAACGTCTTGGGAAACGAAAGAGGACGCAGGGCAGCAGGGTCTTTCTTGCAGGGCAGCCTCTGACCCACCCCAGGGATTTCGCGCTGGGCTGTTTCTCTACGAGGAGGCAGCGCCACCTGCTGTCCACTTCGCGCAGATGCTGTTGGGCCCTAAAAAATCAGTCCCATCAGGAAAATTGATCTCACCAGGCTGGGCAGCCGCGGATGCGAGGAATGAACCTGATTGCCCTATTTCAGGCCCTTTGCTCTTTGTCAAGGGGTAGCTGGCTTTTTATTTTATTTTATTTTATTTGGTCAGGGGGTCAGTTAATGTAGTCTTTTGCTAATTACACAAATGATGTGGCTTATTCCAAATTAAAAAAAAAAACTTTATTAAAGTGAAACGAAGAAAGTAAAAGTGACTTCCAACCCCATTCCTGAGTGAGACAGCTGTGCTCCGGTGGCCACAGGAGACATCTCCCTGCACCCTGAAGGACCCCGTGGTTCTACGAGGAGCAGATAAGGGAGGTAGTGGGTCAGAGCACTGGAGTCACAGGGCCTGGGTTCAAGTCCTGGCTCCACCTCTTCTCAACTTCGTGAGCCTGCACAGGTGTCTCTCTTCTGCTCACCTCAGTTTCCCCATCGGTACAGTGGCTGATGCTGAAAGGTGCTTTATCTGTTGCACCTGGCAGCATGAGAAAGGCTGATGTGGGGCTGGCCGCAGTGGCTTATGCCTGTAATCCCCACACTTTAGGAGGCCGAGGCAGGTGGATCACATGAAGTCAGGAGTGCGAGTCCAGCCTGGCCAACATGGTAAAACCTCGTCTCTACTAAAAATACAAAAATTAGCCAGGCGTGGTGGCACATACCTGTACTTGAACCTGGGAGGCGGAGGTTGCAGTGAGCAGAGATTGCACCATTGCACTCCAGCCTGAGTGACAGAGCGAGACTCCGTCTCAAAAAAAACAAAAAAAAAAAAGGCTGACATGGAATAACTACATAACCTGGCCTGGTTAATTCTGCTGCTTGGAGAAGTCTTCTTCAGATAGTTCATCTTGGTGGGTTCATTTGGATTCTGCATCAGTCAAAACCTGACTTTCTAAGGGGGACAAAGGAATAGATTCCTCTTGAAATTCAAGGTCTTGCTTATGAAGCCCTTTCCTATCCCAACATTATAAAGACTTCTCTCCTACTGTCTCCAAAGCAAGGGCATGATCTCAGCTCACTGCAACCTCCCCGCCCTGGGTTCAAGCAATTCTCCTGCTTCAGCCTCTGAGTAGCTGGGATTACAGGTGCCCGCCACCATGCCCGGCTAATTTTTGTATTTTTAGTAGAGACAGGTTTCACCATGTTGGCCAGGCTGGTCCCGAACTCCTGACCTGTGAACCGCCTGCCTTGGCCTCCCAAAGTGCTGGGATTACAGGCGTGAGCCACCATGCCTGGCTGCCTCTCATATTTTGTTACAATATTGAATTAGGCTGGGATTTATTTTTATGTGTGCCACAATTTAGACATCCAAGTTGCGCTGTCTCCTCCCGCTGCCTAAGATGCTGAAAGGAAAGAAGGCTGAGGGGAAGAAGGTGGCTCCAGCCACTGCTGTTGTGAAGAAGCAGGAAGCCGAGAAAGTGGTGAATCCCCTGCTTGAGAAAAGGCCTAAGAATTTTGGCACTGGACAGGACATCCAGTCCAAAAGGGACCTCGCCCGCTTTGTGAAATGGCCCCACTCTATCAGGTTGCAGCGGCAGAGAGCCACCCTCTATAAGCGGCCGGAAGTGCCTCCTGTGATTAACCAGTTCACCCAGCCCCTGGACTGCCAGACCTCCTCAGCTGCTTAGCCTGGCCCACGAGTACAGACCTGAGACAAAGTAGGAGAAGAAGCAGAGGCTGTTGGCTCGGGCCGAGAAGAAAGCTACCAGCAAAGGGGATGTCCCCACTAAGAGACCACCTGTCCTTTGAGCAGGAGTTAACACTGTCACCACCTCGGTGGAGAACAAGAAAGCTCAGCTGGTGGAGACAGCACACGACATGGATTCCATCGAGCCGGTTGTCTTCCTGCCTGCCTTGTGTTGTAAAATGGAGTCACTTACTGCATTACCAAGGGGAAGGCAACACTGGGCCGTCTAGTCCACAGGAAGACCTGCACGACCGTCGCCTTCACGCAGGTGAATTCGTAAGACAAAGGCGCTTTGGCTAAGCTGGTGGAAGCTATCAGGACCAATTACAATGACAGATATGATGAGATCCACCGTCACTGGGGAGGCAACGTCCTGGGTCCCAAGTCTGTGGCTCGCATCACCAAGCTCAAAAAGGCAAAGGTTAAAGAACTTGCCACTAAACCGGGTTAAGTGTACACTGTTGAGTTTTCTGTACATAAAAATAATTAAAATAATACAAATTTTCCTTCAAAAAAAATCCAGGTTGCTTTTTCCATCCTTCAAAACAGCAGCCAGCAGCTCTGAGTCTGTCTCTGACGAGGCAAATCCTTCCCCCATTTGAAATCACTGTCATGTCCCAGGTTCCCACCTGCTTGGAGACCCTGTCCTCCACTCTCCTGATCGGCAGACACCCTGCTGTGTGGAGGCGGGAAGCTCCAGCATCAGACCTGCATCCAGAGGCCAGTCCCTTTTCCTGGCCCGGGACTGTTCTTGAGCATTTCCTGTCCACCCTGTCGATTTCCACACACAACGCCTGGTGAGATTTTGCTGTTCGGTATAGAACGCCTTGGCATCTTTCCAGTATCAAACTCTTCTCTCTGGAACACAACTTGTTTCTTGATTCAGATCTTTCCTCTCTCTCAGGAAAGTGTGACCATTTTATCCAGATGAGTCGGGAACTGATCAGGTGTTTTCCCAAAAACTGACTAGTTTTTGTTGTCATTGCCTTAAACGTTTGCTAGTGAGTCGTGGAAATGCATGTGACTTGCTCTGGCCCTCCAGACCTTTTCACTATGAAGTCAAATATTTCTTCAGCTGGTACAGTTTTACTGCAACTGTTTCCATTTCACGCTTCTTCCACCCCTATCCCATTTTGCAGTGTTGTGGGGAAGAATCACCCGGCTCCATCTCTGCACTATCTGTGTCTGTGTCATTGTGCCTTCAGCCCAACTAAGTCTCTGTATTTTGTGATTTCAACTTTTTCTGAGTCTCACTCTATCGCCCAGGCTGGAGTGCAGTGGCGGGATCTTGGCTCACTGCAACCTCCGCCTCCCGGATTCAAGCAATTCTTGTGCCTCAACCTCCCTAGTAGCTGGGATTACAGGTGCATGCCACCATGCCTGGCTAATTTTTGTATTTTTAGTAGAGACAGGGTTTCACCATGTTGGCCAGGCTGGTCTTGAACTCCTGACCTCAAGTGATCCGCCCACCTCGGCCTCCCAAAGTGCTGGGATTACAGGTGTGAGCCACCACGCCCGGCCTGTGATTTCAATTTCTAAGGAGTTTTTTCTTACCAGTCCATTCTCTTTTTAATGGACACGATGGCCTCCGAGTCCCTTTGTGACTCCTGTATGAACATGTCCACCACGGCTAGCACGTGTCTCAAGATGCCGATGTCCTCAGCTGTCTGGCAGCTACTTGTTGCCTGCTCATATCTGTAGACGAGGCCCAGACTCCCGCCACAGGTGTGTGGAGACGCCCTGGCTCAGACGCTGCCTCCGCAGCCCAGGGAAGTCCTCCTGTTGTTTCTGAATGCTGGGGCGGTCTTGCCTTCCACACCGGGGGTGGCTCTGGCTTGCCACCGCCTGGTCTCCAGCACTCTCGTCTTACTGCTCACAGATTTTCTTTCTCCCGCCACAGCCCGGCTTCTAATACAAGTGTCGATGTTGTGAGTAGGGATTTGTACTCTTAAAAGTATCACCAGCCTCCTGCTGGGCTTTTCATTCCTGCTCGCTGTCCACAGGTGTTTAGCCTCTGTTTAGGATCCTCACCCACCTCACAGGACTTCTACTTTTAGAGCTCATGTTTTCCTGTATATTGTAAGATCAGAGCAGACACGAGCAAAAATGGACACATTTTCCTTTTTAAAAAACATTTTTCTTAATAAAGTTTCGAGGACACTTCATTGACACAACTTTTTTTCGTGCAAAACCGTATCAAATGTCTCAGGACTAAGGAGTGGATGGTGCCTGAGATTTTCTCGATTCCTGCAGTGAAGCTTTTTCACGATGTGGTTCCTTCACTTTGAGTCTCTCAAAGGCCCCACGTTGATTTGTTTTCTGTTTATTCAATTGTATCATTCTAGCTACTTGGAGGCTGAGGCGGGAGAATGGTTTGAGCCTGGGGGTTCAAGGTTGCAGTGAGCAGTGATCATGCCACTGCACTCCAGCCTGGGTGACAGAGTGAGACCCTGTCTCAAAAAATAATAATAGATATAAAAACAAAAGGGATGGTCTCAGCACTTGTCAAGTGACTGTCTTCCATTCATTCTCCCCTTACCACATGTGAGTGACACAATCCCGATGCTGATGAGCACGCAACAACCGTGGGAACAAGAAGTTGGGTAGCTGAGTACCTGTCTCACTACCACCTGTCACCACAGTCCTTGGGAACTGTCCCCACAGGTCTCCCTGCAAAGGACAGGGCAGTCAAAGTGTGCAGGCTGATACATGTGGGGGATTTTATTTCACGCACTTGCTCTTTGGTTTTTCTTACACGATGTTCCACAAATATAAAAATGAGAAACTCCTTCAGATTATCTGTGTATCCATACACCTGGATTATTCTGGCTAAAGTGTCTGGGAACCCCAGCAGTCTGGCTTCCCTGAGTGAGCCTGTACTGACTGGTTTAATCCGGCCGTCTGAGGGTGGGGTGGTCATCAGGCATGGCTGGACACAGGAGTTTCAGTGGTGGGGTCAGAATCCAGCTTCTCCCTCTCCCGGCTCCAGTGGGTCTATTCCCAGAAGTCCTTGCCCCTGTCTGCAGGGCTGTGCCCACTGCTGGCTGGACAGGGAGTGGACAAGACAGGGATGACTCACTTGCTCTTCTCCTCGAGTTGCTATTCTAACGGCAGCAAATCCACAGAAAAAAGGTAAACAAAAAAACAAACGAGAATCTTTCAAAAAGAGAAGTGTTCTTTAAAAAAAGAGAGAAAAGAAGGTGAGGACTTCAGTGCAACCAGGTGACTACTCTGAACTGGGGGCTGAGTCAGCCTCTGACACTGAGCTGAATGCCCAGTGACAAATGTGACCAGCCGTGCGGGTCGGGGGGAGGCCAAGGACACAGTGGGCCCAGGGCCCAGGGCCAGGTGTGGTGCTTCCAGACGTTTCTACTCCCCCATTTTATTCATGGCGACTTAGGAAGGAAATCAGTCTTTAATGAGCAAATCTAAGGCCGCGTTTTCTTTCCAAAGTCTCCACGGGATTTTCACGGGAAAACCAGTGAGAAAATGCCCTTTCAAAGAGAAGACTGAGTGTCCTGAAAACATTTTCTTTAAAGTGCGTGCAAGGGCTGCCCTCTTGAGGCATAATAATGTGCTTAAAATAACACTTGGTAAAACCCTCTGGCTAAAAAATCAAAATTTCCAAAGCATATACATTTGAAAAAAATAAAATCTCCACTTAAAAGCTTATTTTGACTTGTTGCCCGGGATCAATTGCAAAAGCGCTTCTGTTGAGAAAGGACAGTTCAGCCAAACTCCAGCTGGTTTTTAGAAACAGAACTGGAGGGAAAAAACCAGAAAACGTAAGGCACTGGGCAAATGTGACGTAGGCTGGGATGAAACCCGTTCTCCCAGAGCCGGTCTCTCCCACAACACCAAGTTGCTCCCCGTGCAGCCAGCTGGCTGAGGGCCCGGAGTGTGTGTCCGCAGAGGGAGGAGTGGGCTGGGGAGGGGGAAGAAGGGACGCTGGCTCCCCAAAGTGTGACCTGAGGACTGATCTGAGCTGCAGTGAGCACTTTTTAACCAGGGGCTGAGCTCCCTGGGCTCCTGTGACACGGATGGAGCTCTCTCTGCCATGCTGCCAGCTCAGGACCCTAAAGTCCAAGGGCGCTCTCTGTACCCCGCATGCAGTCCCGGCCAGGGCCTCTTGAGAGCCGGATCCTTTGTCCATCTTCTCCCGTTCAGCCCACCCCTGGCAAACCTGAGATCATCTTCACATCACCCACCCCTGCTTCGCCACTCACTCAGTCCCCGGCCCCTCTGCTCTGTCCCTCCAGAGAAACACAAACTGGCTCAAGGCCTGAGCCTGCACGAACGGGAGGCTGAAGTCTGTGTGTGCTGTGAGATGGACTGTGGGCTCGCTTCCCCACTCACAGGAGGCCCTGGGCGTTCACTGAGTGGTGACTTCTGGAAAGAACTGAGACCCGAGCAGCTCACGCGGTGGCTCTGCCACGTCTTGCCACGCAGGCCTCTCGAGTGCCATGGGAACCGGAGCAGCAGGGGATGGGGATGGTGAGTCTGCAGTGAGCTCTGTGGCTCTCCACAAGGTCACTTGTCCCTCTGCTGCCTGGCCAGCGCCACCCTCAGGGTGTCGGTGCCCAGTCGCAGGCCCTGCAAGCAGGAGACGGCCTGCTGGGCTGCGGCTGAGTCTGGGTAACGGAGGAAGGCTCTGCGCCGTGGGCCCTGCCAGGTGAGCCGCAGGGGCACGGAGCCGAGTTCACGCAGGGCTCTCTTCAGGTCACTCACACGGGCGTCCCGGGGGAGGTTCCCAACATAAGCGTCGGCTGCAAGCGGGGCACCCTCCCCTGGTGGGGAGCCACAGGCTGCCGCCATGGAACTGGCTTCTGGCCCGGGTGTGTCTGGGGGCCTTCTGCCAGCACTCAGGGGCACTGCCTGCTGGCGGCCTGGTTCCGGAAGGTGCTGGTGCTCACCCTGGAGGGTGACGTCCTTCCCAGCCTGCTGCTCTCGGGCGCGGAGGCTCCTCAATACTGGGATTTTCTCCATCATCTCCCGGCTGATCTGAAAAGCAAAGCAGTTGCAGCTGTTCTCAGGGACAGACTCACAGGGCGCCTGTCACACACGCGTCCACACCTCTGACTGCTGGCTGTGCTACACACGTGGCTGGATGCCGAGTGGTCTAACTCAGCCCTAGGGACGGGACCCCCACTGTCCCACCCACTGTCTCACACAGACGATGTCACCAGTCTGTAGCTCTGCCTTTTGCCCCTGGCTTAAGGGAAATCAGCGCTCATGGCGGCTCTCTGGAGCGTCTGCCCACACGCTGTGGAGGTTGCAAGGTTGCGCCTCCATTTTCCTCCAGGCCCCGAAGCAGGAAAGTAAAGCTAGGGCTCTCTGCTCAGGCCTCCTACCCAGAAGAGGCACCTAAGGTTGCTACTGTTGGGATTACAGGGTTACCAAAGGCAGCTCCCCTAATGACTTCCCCCCCACCGAGAATAACGGGGAGCTGCCTCTGTATCTGCCCCCTATCTGTGCCTTTGGGTGGCACGAGGACTTTAATAGGATCACAGGGGTCTCCTCTCCACTGAGGGAACATCTGTCAGGGATCATCCCCTTCAATGCAGAGCCAAAAATGCAGAAAACAAGGCAAGTCTGAAACACAGCTTTGAAAACACTTCCTAGTGACGGGTCACCAAACTATGAAATCAGTGATACTACGCAAAAGCTTAAGTCTCAATTGTATGGGATTTGTAGACAAAGGACATCTTTGGCTTTATCCAGATTTTTCTAATCAATCAGCTACTGCAGCGGGCCCCTTGGAACAGACTTGAACTGGCTTGAGGCAGCCTAAACAGTGAAGGCCTGTTGGCTCCGTCCTGTGGGGCAGTTTGCACTGGGGGCTGCCTGTGGGTCAGGACAAGTCAGGTGACACCTGGACCACCGTGCCCTGTGCAGAAAAGAAACAGACACTGTGTAGTCCTTTTTGACAATTCTCATTCTTTAGAGATGTTTTTTATTTTTCTTTTGGGCACCAAGCTTTCACATGAGCATGGTCACCAAAAGGCAAGCCGTGGTCACCTGCAGGCCTCTAACAGAAGTGAGTATGTCACAGTATGAGGCAGCACATGAGCCAGACAACTATAAATTGTTCTACAAGATGAAACAGTTCAACTAGTATCAATGCTCTCATTACATTCAGAATAATATGTAATTTCGAGCAATGGTTCTTATCCTTGGCAGGGTGACAGAGGAACCTTTGTGAGGAGCTGGGGTTCCCTCCCAGGAATGACTCACCCACAATTTTCTGTACAATTTCCCAGGGTCAATAAAGGCTATTCATGGGCCTCCAAGCTACAAGAGGTGCACAGGCCCCAAGTTAAGCATCAATAAATTAGAGTAATAGTTAAAGATACACAAACACCTAAGAACAGCCAAGTGCGTTCCTGCAAACCTAGAGGCTCTCAGTCCTCTCTCATCTAGCACCTGGCTCTGTCTCCCAGTGCTGGGTGGAAAGTAACGTCCCCTCCCGGCGAAACCTTCGCTTTGGTCAGAGTCCTCTGTGGTGGGATGCCACTCTGCTCCCTGGCACTGCCACATCAGAAGCCTTGGCAGGTGGCAGGCACAAGGTCTCATTTTGGTCTTGAATGGCAAACAGACTCTTGGCTGTCATAGAAAGACTCTGCAAAGACTTGCTTCAACATTTCCCATTGTTCAGACACAAAGGAAAACAACTCACGTCTATGCCATGAACATATCCGCGATGTGCTCTCTTCTAATTACAAGGCATTTCCCTTCCACTGGGCCCTCGGCCATCCTTCTCAACTGACTGACTGCGAGGAGACGTAACTCATAGACCAGTATCATTCAAGCTCTGGGGCCCAGGGAATCTCAAAAACGACCGAAGTCCAACCAACCCAACCTCTTTCCACACCTCTACTCCACCTTCTCAGAAAGTTCAGGCTTTTGTGTTCTTCTGAAGTATTTAAAAATAGATATAAACTGGTCATCATTTGATTTTGAAGGATCTTTTAAATGACCAGATTTAGTACTGAGAACAGATGATAAAATTTAAAACTGCAATTACAATGAGAGAAAAAGCGTGGCTATGCATTTATCTGGAAGAACTGAAAGTTACTTGGCTCTGAGGACAGCACCAGAAGCCTTGAGGTGAGAGCATCAAGTGGGCTGGGGGTGGGGGTGAGGTAAGGAGTGCAGTAAGGGGTAGGGGTGTGGGGGCAGGCTGCACCTTCCGGGTAAACACTGCTCTTCTGATGGGGTCTATCGGGAGCTGCGCCAGCCCAGTTTCCTGCCCCCCGAGTTACTTCCCCTCCCATCTGTGTCCAGTAGCACCTCAAGGTTCCCTATGGCAGAAGCAAGCATTCTCGGGTGAGGCTTCACACTTGGGGTTTTACAGCAGAAATCTGTTTTGAAACACGCAGTGGGAAAGACAAATATATCCTTCCATGCACATCACAGGGAGCTCCTCCATTCTGAGCCAGCAAACATACAGTCGGCTGAAGAATAATGAAAACATCTTAACCACACATTATGAGCTGACTGGACGGCCAGGGCACCGACACACTGGCATCCGCAGGGGGGCCGTTAGAATGGAAATGCGCAAGTGTGTTCCACTGAAGTAAAAGCGCTCTTTTCACGAGCAGTGTTTTTGGGTAAAGGATGACAAGGCTTCGCATCAGCTCCCTCCTCCTCAAGCTCTAATGGAAACATCTTCCTGGCTGCGGGGTGGCTCTGCCACTCTGCCAGCTGCTGGAGGACTGGGCCGATCCCTGCCACAGCTGACAAGAAAGCCTCCTGTGCACCAGCCAGCAGGGTGGCTGGACACCATGGCTGGGACGAGCGCATGGCAGTGCTACTGTTTCCCGGCTGGCAATGAGGAACAGCTGTTCCATTCTGCCAATGTGGCATGTGAAGTGAAACATTTTGCTTGTTAATCAAACATGAGAAAACATTTTTGCCTTTTTATAACTAATTCTATTCTCAAAAAAATAGAACTTGTATTTATATTAAATATTATTATATTATCACATTAAAATAAAGTTTAAAAACCTGTCCCCTAGACATGCTAAGTCAAATATGAATCTGAAATCTGACTTTTAAGATATCTGATTGAGAGTCAGAAATTGCTCAAAAAGCAGAGACTTGGGCTCTAATCCTAAGGCAGCTACATGCTGCTTTTACCATTTTGGATAAACTGCTTTTCTTTCTGACTCCTGCATTACCTGACCTGGAGATAAGGAAACTGGATGATTTTTGAATCTCCCCCCTTTTCTTTTTTCTTTTTGAGAGACAGGGTCTCACCATGTCACCCAGGCTGGAGTACAGTGGCACAACTCATAGCTCACTGCAGCCTTGAATACCCAACTCCAAGCAATCCTTCTGCCTTAGCCTCCCAAGCAGCTGGCACTCCATGTAGGCACTCACCACCACACCCAGCTAAGTCCTCTATTTTCAGTAGAGACGGGGTCTTGCTATGTTTCTCAGGCTGGTCTTGAACTCCTGGGCTCACATGATCCTCCTGCCACGGTCTCCCAAAGTGCTGGGATTAATAATTAGGCGTGAGCCATGCTGGCCAAGATGAGCAGATATCAGTATTTCTAATACTAAGTTCAACCTCTATAAATAGTGAGTTCTCTTGCCTGAGACTAAATGTGATTGTTCACTGATGAAAATGCCTTAAGATACTTCCAAACGGCCACAGTGAAATAACCATATGGAAGGTATGCTCAGAGGAGAGCACAGGGAAGGCCAACGGAATGTGCTGCCTTCCGTAAACATAAACGCCAGGTAGGCCTCAAAGCCTCTGCTGGCTCTCTAAGGGCAGAATCTCTTCATCATGGCTCACGGAAAACCCTTTTGTTCATAGTTGTTTGATCAACTATGTCAGTTGGTAGAAAAAGACTCAATAGGGCCACCGCTTTACAATCACGCTTCTACTGGGAGTGCTGGCGGACAGCAGGGGCGAGGCCTGGATCTCCCAACAGGGGCCTGACCACAGGCAGCACTGCGTTCGACTGTACCCCAACATCGGGAAGGGATGGCTCAACTTGGGAGGGGTATGGAAGTCACTAAGAACTATTTAGTCAAAGGTATACATGATCACCTTAAAACTGATGCTGCGAGATGCCAGCTTCCATCTGCACGCCATGGCTCCTGCCTGGCCGTCATTGCAAGGCCCGTGGGAGTGACGTGCCTCCCTCTGCCTGCTCTGCACAGAGTCCTGCATGGGACCAGCAGCTCCTGTCTCACTTTCGCACTTGGAGTTTGGGCCCTGGGAGAAGAGCAGCCGTATGGTTCCCCTCACACAGACATACTTGAGCTTTCTGTGTTGGCTGTTCCAGTGTCACCCTACCTAAGTGTGTGTGTGAGTTTTAAGGACTGGCGCATCTTTAACTATTTTTGTTTCTGAATTCTCATTTCTACCAACTGAGTACACTGGGAACAGATACCTACCTTACTGCTGCGTGACTGGGTTCAAATGCACCTGGGCACAATGTCTACCTTGGAAAATGTTGAACAAATTTACTGTTTTTTTCCTAAATATTGTTGATTATAAAATTAGGATATGCTTGTTGTGGGAAATTTGGGAAAAAAGTAGAAACATTTGAAATCCTATCTCCCAGAGATAAATACTGTTAATATTCTGTTGTATTTCCTCCCCGTCTTTTCTCTCTGCCTTTTAACATGAGCAGAATATGAAATTCATTATCAAGCATGTATAATATCATATTGTGCCTTTTCTACTTTATACCACATGCATTTTCTCATGCCACTAAATATTCTTTAAAAAGCTGTATGCACTTAAATGGACTCCCCCCATCCCCATTTTAAGGCACTGCAAGTCTTCTATAGAAATTCAATAAATCCTTATCTGAATTTCTACATATTTCTCTAGAACTGATTCCTAGAAGGTAAATTATTAGGTCAAATATAGTAATTCTTTTTCAGTGAAAGCCTCTCTCAGCCCTCTAAATGTACTGGCCCAGTTGTGGGTAGGGGTTGGTTCACAGTTAGCTGCATTATTTGCAGAGAACAATTTTGTCTTATGTGGGATCTGAAATTGGGCTTTGCTGTCCCAGGACTACTGTCACAGAGGAGACTGTCCTCAAATCCTTTTTCTTGAAGTGTCTATAGATCATGCAGCATACTGTGGCCATCTGAAGACCACTCTCCCCAGCAGGCTGTGTGGGGAAGAACGGGCCATGCTTTGAAAGCTACAGAATTGTTTCCTTGAGTGTAAGCACGAGAGTGGCTCTGGAAGAATCCAGTTTCCTTCATTAAGGAGCAAATGAGTTGACCCGGGAAAGTCAGACGCACAGACCTTGGTCTATGGTATCCTCGCCACCCCCGTGGTAATCAGGAGCCATATGCTGACGGGAGTACCAATGAAGAGCACAGGACGGGTGAGAAGATGTGTGTGACTGACAGTCCTTCCACCTGGCAAAGGCCAAAAGGTCCTCTGGCTTGTGGGTCTGGTGACGGGGACCACAGGCTTGTGGGTGCCCGAGTGGCTTCTCCTAAGCCCTCAGTCTCCTAGAGTCAGGCTGGCCTTGCCTTTGGCGCAGTTGAGGTTCTGGAGTCTGTAGCCATGCCCTACCATTCCTCTCCGTCTCCGAGGTATTCTAACATGTATCTTTCTGGCTCCCCGGCTCAGGCCAGCTCTAGGGAAACACTACAATGGTGTGGCGCGTCTCCACTGCCCAGGTGCGGCTTGGGCAGAACGGGGCTTCCAGGGTGGTGGCAGACCCGGGTCTCCCCAGAGAGGCTCCACCTGCTGCTGCTGTCCAGGTGCTCACTTGGGTCCAGCAGGTGACCATGGGTCTCAACAGGAAGTTCCGTTCTTCTGTTGCCAGTGACTCACAGGACACCACTCAGCCCTGGAAGCTGGCTGGGACTCTGCCCCACAAGGGCAGGCACTGGTCAGTGGCCGGGGCTGCTCGACACTAGCGGGTCCAGGAATTCAGCCATTTTCGGTTTGCTACTGCACAGAGCTGAGGCAGCCAAATGGCTCTCAGCCCACTGCAGATCACCTGACACACGGCTGTCACAGGGAGGGACATCGCATGACTGTCTCCAAGATCAGAAGATCACCAGAGCTGGACGAACTGCCCAGAGGTTCAGGACCACATTCCAGCTTCAGGCCCAGGTCTCTGGTACCATCTGCAGCCTGGCAGAGATCCTTGGTGTAGCTGGGGTTTCAGGGAGTCCTGGGTTCTCAGGGTGCGGTGACTGGGAGATGGGGCAGCAGTGGCTATGCATCTTGTGGCTTGGATGTGGCCAAGTCACCCTGAGTTTCACGGGTCTGTGGGTGAGGCAATCGCCCCCAGAGACAGAAGAGCCCATGAGGACAGAGCAGACAATGTGCCTTCTAGAAAGGAGGAGTAAAAGCAGAGCCTTCTGGGGAACGTCTCTGTGCCTCTCTCTTCCTGCCAGAAAGTTTCTGATGAGGGTGCAGAGCGCCGGAATGCACTTTCAGCCCCTTTCCCAACCCTACCAGGCTTCCTTTGTTGAAGAGGAGATGGAGGAGGAACAATGGCTCCTCGTGGGGGGTCTCTGCAAAGCACCTGCACGGTCACAGGCGGTATGGAGCAGCGGAAGGGCTGGAGAGCCGGGTCAGTGCCTTTCTCTCCTTGTCCTCCACTGAGAGGTAGTAAAGGGCATATCAGGGCACCACGTGACAACCCGTGGCCACAGGGAGACACGTGAAAGACCCCATCTTGGCTCAGTGAGCTACCCAGAAGGACCATCCTAAGGATTCTACCAGCAGCACAGAGAAAGAAGAAACATGCATGACGTCCAGGAAGGTTTCTCAACTTTAACAACCAACCTCCCATTTGTGACAGTGATGAAGACTGTGGCCAGGCTCGCAAGCATCGTCCTGGGCATTCTACGTGCACTGCCGCGCACCGTCCTATTTCAAAGACAAACGAGGGGCTCGGAGGGTGTGCTGGAGGTTACAGACAGAGCTACGAAGTGGGAAACTCTTGACTGCTAAACTGAGCAATACGCTCACTGGCCACTTGGTCTCCTTTCTTCAAAATCATGAGACACAGGCTGAGAAGAGTCCACGCGGATGTTGACGGTGAATCAAGGAGATGCGCTGTTTACAGTAACTGCACTCAAACGGAGCGTGTATTAGACTGCTCTGTAAGACAGGGCAGGACGTCAACTATTGGAAAGGTGGAACAAAGGCCAGGGAATCAGATGCTGAACTATCTTTGTGTTTTGAAAATGAGTAAAGGCAAGGCAGTTTGTGCTTCCTTCACATCCTTCCACAAGCGATCGACAGTGCATCGCAGATATCCCAGTGAGATGGCCAAGAGGTAAATTCTTGGATTCTAAGACCTACAAACCTATAGTGATAAATCATTACCACTATAATATCATGGAGGGGTATACCAAATATTTGCCAAAAAGTCCATTTGAAATGATATCATAACCTAGCACTGAACAGTCCCCCCTTCCACATCCAAAATCTTTCCTGGAATTTAGGGATTTTTTTTTTTCTCCCAACAAATGTTGATAAAAACTCACTTGAGCTGCATGGTTAGTGAGACTAAAACAGAAACGCTGGGGGCTAGAGAAAGTGACTGATTTCCTCTGACCATGCAAAGGGATTACCAGGTGGTGAAACTGAGAACACAGGACCCAAAATGACAGACAGGTTTTTAAAAGTTTGAGATTCTTGCTGAGGCCTCATAAACAGTGACCATTTTCCTGGAAGAGGGTCTCGACAAACAGTGACGCCCCCAATGCCCTCCCTCCCCCACAGTGCTGACCCTGTTTCAGGAACCTTGGTTTGCTTTTCTGTAAGAGGATATATTCACCTAACATGTCCGATGACTTCATTAGTTGCTACTTTTCTACTTTTCTTGTTAAAATATTCAGAAGGTAACCAGGCTGTTCCTAGCTCTCTTCCGGGAGAGGCTGTCCAGGCTCCCCCTAATATGGCTGCAATGGGCCCCTTCTCTAACGTGCTGGCCTGGAGGGACTGCCAGCAGCCTCACTGTGGCTAATGCCCTTGTGCAACTTTCCCACCATCCCTGTTCTTGTCTCTGAGGAGCCACCAGCCTCGCGCTCTGTCTAGTGCATTGGCTTCCACTTACAAGGAAGCTGTGGACCAGAGCTCCCAGGTGAAAGACTCTGAAGAAAGACACCAAGGGATATTTTCATTTCCTGGGAGAGCAGGGACCGCCTTCTCCCCAGTGCTCCTGGTGCGCTTGGAGGGCCGCCCATCCACTCTGGGTCACACAGGCTGTTCCCTCTGCTTTCATCAGCAACCAACCAAGGAGTGCACACCTGAGAGGCCCCAGCAGTGCCTGCCCAGGACGCCTGCAGGGAAAGTCCCTGCTGGGCTGTGGCGAAAGTAGCAGGTATTTTGTGTTCATCCTTAGAGGTGGATGCTGTTGATTTTCCATGCCCAAAGGAAGGATACTTTCAAACACTGAATGACTTGGGTTTAAAGAATGGGAGACGTGGACACATATGCTTATTTGACCAATAGTTTTGTCCACACGAAGCACAAATGTCTTCTCAGTAATTCTGGCTGTTTGCCAGCAGAGACAGCATCATAGCCTACAGGCTGCCTCACAGGGCCAAACTCCTACTGCAGACTGATTTGCAACGTGTGCCATTACCTAATCTGGAAATAAAAACCACACATGTATAAAATGTACAAAGGCTTGGTACTGCCTTCTACTCAGGCTAGATCTGCTTGAAGATCCAGATCTTCAGTTAAAAAAAAATCTGGATTTAAAAAGGGAAGACCAATGAGATAATGCCAGGCAGAGTTTGCTGCACCTGGGATGGCAGAAAACAACTCTTAACAATGAAAAACAGTGGGCAAGTAAAGCTTCAAGGCATTCGCCCTCCTAGCCCATGTGGCCATTTCTGCCATCCACAGAGGCGGATTTTAAACCCAGCTGCTTTTTAGAATGCCAGAGATCTGTAAGCAGATTCTTGGGCCTGGGCCTGGAGATTGTCATTCAGGAGCCAAATTGTTCAAAAGCTCCTTGAGTAATTCTAACGTATAGCCACGCTGGGATTGCCAACAGCTCCCATGCCAGACAGAAAACACTTAAAAGAGGAGGGGCCGCTAAGCTACAGGCCACAGCTGGCCACGGCGGTGACCCACCTTGGACCAGGTGATTCCCATTGGCTGTGGGCGCTCGCAGCCTGTGGCGATGACTCTGGTTGGAGTGAGGATGTAGTCAACGGTGATGTCGTGCTCCTCAAGGAGCTCTTCAGGGATGTCCACGACCTGGGGGAACGGAGGCGGGATAAAGGGGCTGGTGGGAACGCCACTGCAGGATAAAGGAGCTGGTAGGAATGCCACTGCAGTCGTGCATACTGCCCCACCCAGTGGGAATGTGATGCTGGCTAGAAAAGCACCCCCACATCCACTCTGGGGCTAAGGCTTAGCCACTGCACCACTAGCAAGTCCAGCCCTGGCTGATCCACACCACTCATGACACGGCATGGTTCAGAAGCAGACGAGTATCTTTCCCCACCCCCTGCTCCCTCAGAAGAGAGTGGCAGTGGCTCTGCTCAGCCCATTCATAAGGAGCACCTGGCAGTCATGGACGATGGTGACCACCGGCGTCTCCGTGCTGACGGCACCCATGGATACCATCATGGCATATTCCAGATCGGCGTAGCCTTCTCCCTTCCCGATTCTCCAGCCTGAGAGACAACCGAGAATCAGTATCGCTGTGTGGTCCGGGGCATCGCTGAGAAGTGGATTTTCCATCAGGTCCACTGGAAGGAGAAACTTGAACCCAATATCTCGAGCTAATCTATAGAAATTTTCACAGAAACGCCCACCAAATGCCCACAAGCAGCCCACCATGACGATGGACTTCTGGGCATTAAACAGGAATCACAACACAGCAAATGTCAGGTGGTGAAAATACAATGATGCGAACACTGGACCGTTTAACCGTGTCACAAAGGGAAACAGCTCACATTCATGTCAGCTTTATGTTAGCAAGACTCATACTTAAAAAGAACAAAAAGGGCAGTTCTCAAAAAGACTAAAAACAAATTCCTACTGAAAGCAAAATAGGTTTAATCAACTTACCTCGGGGGAGAATCGCCGCTGTGAAGTCAGGAGCCCATGACGGCACGGCCTTGTTTCTTTAAAAACACTGAATAGTCACCACTAGACACCAGGTCCCGAGGGACAGTTTAAGCAGTACTAATGCGTTTTGCAAATTTGTAATGAGTGGCACCACAAAAGGATTATCTGAGCCTAAAAGAGTAGCTAAGATGAAATCGAGGTTTAACAACCTCTCTAGCCAAATCAGCTCTTCAGAGACAAAAATGCAGGAAGACAGGAAACATCAAATGCCTTCTGACCCTCACGGAGAAGCTACAATTCCTCTTGTGAGAAGCCTGAGGCACTTCAGAAACGGAGGCCTGCATGTGCCACCACCAGCAACACCCGCAGAACACCTGCATTACTGCCGCTGTGCCTGAGACTCACATCTGATCGTGCTACTTTGACAATTCAAAACCTCCAACTGTGCATGCAAAGAAACAAGAGAAAGAAAATTCAACAGAAAAAATAGCAAAGGATATGAACAGTTCACAGAAAATGACAGGCAGATAAGCAGTAAACATACAACATTCTTGACTGACTCCTAATTAGGTACAAATCAAAGGCAAAGGAGATACTATTCACTGCTCACTAGCAGACTGCAAAAAGTCAAAGCTGACTCATTCCAGCTAGGAACACGGAAGCAGAGACAGAGGCCGGGCACCACTGTTGGGGCCGAAAGTGAGCGGCCCTTCTGGTGGCAACATCGAGGCTGACAAAATCCATCCTTCAGTTCAGCAACTCCCCTCCGAGGCCCTGGCCCATGGAGAGCCTCAAACACGCACCTAGACTATCCCCCAGAACATACTTCACTCTAGCATGATCTGTGAGGGAAAAGACCAAAGCCAAATCTGGAAATAACTCATAACGTAGACATCCGTCGGCCGGGGTGGGCTTCAGTTATTGAGGGGCAGTCACAAGAGAATACCGTGCAGTTCCTCAACACCGGCAGAGGAGGCCGGCCTGCTGTGCTGACAGGAGGGGCTCTAAGACACATTCTCTAGCGAGGCCTGGAGCTCTGTGTGTGCCACTGTCCCTTCTGTGAATGTGGAAAAGGGATGTCTATGAATCTATACCTATAAACTATAAGACAGGGGTTCCCAACTCCTGGGCCACAGACCAGTACCAGTCCGTGGCCTGTGAGGAACCAGGCCACACAGCACGAGGTGGGCAGTGAGTGAGAAAAGCTTCATCTGTATTTACAGCCGCTCCCCGTCATTCTCATTACTGTCTGAGCTCCGCCTCCTGTCCGATCAGCCGCGGCATTAGATTCTCATAGGCGTGCAAACCCGCGTATGAACTGTGCGTGCCAGGGATCTAGGTGGCATGCTCCTGATGAGAATCTAATGCCTGCTGATCTGTCACTGTCTCTCATCACCCTGAGATGGGACCGTCTAGTTGAAGGAAAACAAGCTTAGGGCTCCCACTAATTCTACATTATGAGTTGTGTAATTACTTCATTATTTATTACGATGTAGGAATAACAGAACTAAAGTACACAATAAATGTAATGTGCTTAAATTATGCTGAAACCATCCCCTCCGTGGACCATGGAAAAATTGTCTTCCATGAAACCGGTCCCTGGTGCCAAGAAGTTGGGGACCATTGCTATAAGATATCTGTGTTTCAGCAAAACAAACTGTCATCAGAGTGAACAGAGAACCTACAGAATGGGAGAAAATTCTGCAACCTATCTGTCTGAGTCTAATATCCAGAGTCTATAAGAAACTGAAACAAATTTACAAGAAAAAAACCCAAACAACCCCATTAAAAAGTGGGCAAAGGGCCTGCACAGACAGTTCTCAAAAGAAGACATTTATACGGCCCACAAACATGAGAAAAAGCTCAACATCGCTGATCACTAGAGAAATGCACATCAAAACCACAATGAGATACCATCTCACACCAGTCAGAATGGCGATTATTAAAAAGTCAAGAAACGACAGATGCTGGCAAGGCTGTGGAGAGATAGGAAGCTTTCACACTGTTGGTGGGAACGTAAATTAATTCAACCATTATGGAAGACAGTGTGCTGATTTCTAAAGGACCTAGAACCAGAAATACCATTTGACCCAGCAATCCCATTACTGGGTATATACCCAAAGGAATATAAATCATTCTTCTATAATGACACATGCACATGTATGTTCACTGCAGCACTATTCACAATAACAAGGACATGGAATCAACCCCAATGCCTATCAACGATAGGCTGGATAAAGAAAATGTGGTACATATACACTATGGAATACTATGCAGCCATTAAAAGGAACGAGATCATGTCCTTTGCAGGGACATGGATGAAGCTGGAAGCCATTATCCTCAGCAAACTAACACAGGAACAGAAAACCAAGCGCCACATGTTCTCACTCATAAGTGGGAGCTGAACAATGAGAACACATGGACACAGGGAGGGGAACAACCCACACTGGGGCTTGTCAGGGCAGGGGCAGAGGGAGGGAGAATATCAGGGAAAATAGCTAATGCAGGCTGGGTTTAATACTTAGGTGATGGCTTGGTAGGTGCAGCAACGCACCACGGAACACATTTACCTATGTAACAAACCTGCACATCCTGCCCATGCACCCAGGAACTTAAAAAAAAAAGAGATCTGTGTCTCACACGCATGCTACTATGTACTACATCTACACTAGGAACTCCTAATGGGGCAGCTGGGGAAGGAACAGGGAAGACGTATGGTAGAGCTTTCTGTGCTGTTCAATTTTCTAAGCAGACACATGACTACTTCACTACTTTACACAGGGGGTCCGGTGAACAATGAAACTTACAAAGCATTGCTTTCTTCTTATACATCCCTGAACCTGATGATCTTTTTCAAGAGATCCGGGACCTTTGCTGATTTCCCACCACCTAGAGCCCAAGTCCCATCATCTGGCCTCAAGGCTTCTGAGAAGGGGCCGCAACCTAGTAAAGAGCCTGTTGCCTGAGGACCCTTCAGCCCTCTCTGCCTGGACAGTGGCCAGCATGTAGGAGCCAGCCCTGAGGCCACTACTGAGGAGATGCCCCCTCCAGGCCGGCAGGTCCCTCCTCAGACTCCCCCTCCCACTCCCGTCAGTCCTGACTTGTGTCAAGCACTGATCATGTCAAGTCCTGTCCTGGTCCAGCTCTCGTGTCTGCCCCACCCACACACCATGTACTAAGGTAGAGACCACCCAGTGCCTGCCTGGCACACAGCACGTGCAGCAGGTACACCAGAACAGTGTGTTCCTGAGTCCCCAGCCTTGAAGACACAGACAAAGCACCGGAAACTGGCAATGCAATGAAAGCAAAGAATAATGTCCCCACATCAGCTCCAGTGGTGGCTGGGAAAAGAGGGTGTCCTGAAGCTGGAGATAGCCAGGAGTGGTGCGGTGACCCTGCCCTCTTGGCAAGGGCCCCCTGGCCTTGGGGACCGAGAGCAGCCTGCCTCGCATGCAGCACGGCAAAGCACCAGGCCTCAGAAGTCTCAGGGACACACCACGTTGTTCAGGAGTCTGCTGCTTCATAATAAAAACAAAGCTTGGAAGGTACCGTTTTTCCACTTGCTGGAGTCCCTCCAAAACCAAGTATTTACTGACATACTGAAAAGAAATTCAGCTCCAGCTCACTTAAGAACAGAGAGAAAACATTTCACCACCTGAAGAGAGAGTTATCTCACTTTGTTTTCCCCGCTAAGAAAAGTGAAAATGCTGTACATGTGTTGGGCTGGGGCCAGGAGTGGGGGCGCTGAGCCAATTCACCACTGAAAAATGCAGTGGCTTCGGAGACCAGGTAAGCGCATCCAGAAAGCAGAAATCACCGGCGACTTTTGAAAGACAAACAGCCTGGCACTGACAGCCTGGCACGCAGCCGCCTTCAGGCAGAGCTGTCACACTCAAGAGTTCCCATTTGCTAGTCTTACCTTTTTCAGAAACGGCGACGGATCCCACCACAACTAAATCCACAAGGACCCTGGAATCCAAGCCAATGGGGACACTGTAGTTCCTCACACCCTGCACACAGAGACATGGATTGGAAAACTTCAACGCCAGCTGCTTCCTCATTTTGTAATTCATGATCAAAGTGCGCTCAGGGTTTGAATCAACCTCTCGGACAAAACCGATGCAGGCACACACAGCACCTCCGAGGTGGCGTTTCAGGAGAAGCCGCATTCCAGAAACCGCTTTAGGGCAGTTCCCGTCTCTTTCCCAGAAAGGTGGCCAAGGGGAACTCACAGCACAAATTCATAGACTGCCAATTTCATAACATTTAACAAATCGTTTCTCCCCATAAGGCAGAAAAGCACAGTGGTGAGAACACAGGGGCAGAGTCCCAGGGAACTGGGTTCAGGGCCTCTGAGCCACAGGACCCCAGCAGGCTGGAGCTCTCTGAGCCTCAGTTTCTTCCCCTGTAAGACACTGACACCACCCTCTGCCTTGTCAGACCAGTGTTGGAATTAAATAACAAAACATATGCATTTAGCACATAAGACATGGTCAGTAAACACTGTATGACATATTTATTCAATATAAAATCCTGAAGGGCACTATTTTTATGTACAATATACTCATTTCTAAAAAATTATCCCTTCACCCAAAATGTCCCAAAAGTGTATCGCTTTATATTAATGTAGGCCTGCATGTAAAGAACAGGGAAGTTGAATACATTCATGATTCTCATAACATGGTTTATGTAAATCTCAGGAAAAAGCCATTTTCAGTCCTGTATCCAGCAGTAACTGATCATTCAATGTGGCAGTGGGCTCTGTCTGTCAGTGCAGAGCTATGACAAGTTCCGTAAGGATCAGTGCATACGGGTGGCTTGGGGTTTCCCGACAGTCACACAGGGGCTTAGTCCAGGAAACCCTCCACTGCAGGCAACCCTGTGTTCTCATCATCTCACAGGAGCCATAGGGGGCAGGCACTGACCAACCGCAGAGGAACAGACGGCTTGCATTTGTGAATGCTGACCATCACCAAGGTTTTGTCTCATTTTTCTACCTTTATTTTTCCTTTGCTCCTTTCTCTCTCTCTCTATATATATTTTTTACTTTATCATATGTATTTTTATAAATCATATCAAATTCTATTTTTGGAATAAGCAGGGTGCTAATAAGTAAACAATAAAACATTCCAGTTTTATACATTAGGCTTAAGTGGTGAATCCCATAAAAAAGGGTATCTTGAATTGCCTTATTTTTTATTCTCAGTAGATTAGAAATTAAATAACTTGGAGTTTACTTTAGGATTCTTAAAAAAGCCACCAAATTCGACTTCCTTAACTGTAAAATACATGACCAATTGTATTATAATGCACCCTAACGTCATACTTGTACACTTGGTTTTACTAAATTGCGAGGCATTCAAGAAAATCTTAAATTTATAATTGTCAGCAATTACTCATTTAGAACTGGTGAGGCAATTTCCAGTGGAGCACGTTTTGGAAATTCTATCCCATCTCTCCAGTCGCTCTGGCAGCATCTGACGAACAGGCTGGGGATAAGCAAAAGCTCCACAATACTAAACATCGCAGGTTAACACTGGGCAGCGCCGAGAACCAGATCACTCGTCTTCCCTTTTCTTACAATAAGGAATTTATAATTTGCCAATTTGGTGCAAAATAGAAATTGAGTTACAGAAATAGAATCTGTTTACTCAGTCTTCCTACTTGGCTCCATTAATGACAGAATTCTTGAATACTTTAATATCTCTGTTCTTTTGGCCCTGTTAAAAATGAATTCCAACTGCGTGATGCTATCTTATGCTAACTTGTGAGAAGCCTTCACAGGGTACAGTTCTTTCCTAGGTGGGGACGGTGCTTCTGGCGCTTACCTGAGAGGTGGCACATTTTCTCAAGATGTCTTTAGTTGCCCCAGGGGGTGGTGTGATCTTATTAAACAACCCCGTTCTCAGTCGTGGTGTTGGAACCAACAATGTTTTATTGCTCTTTTAAAGAAAAGACAATCAATAAATTACAAAATTAAATTATTCCATAGGACTTTCTTATATGTGCTTTTACCATTTCAGGAGGAGAGGCAAATTACTATTATCTGCATTCTTTTTTGGTGTGTGGCAAGGAAATTACTTATTTGAAAACCTAATTAAATAATATGTGGGGTTGATTTTTCTTAGAATCACCACTTGGCACCTCCTTACCCTGAAGAGCCACAGTGTTTACTAAACTTGCTAATTTGACTTCACTTGCCATTCAAAATCGTTACAGGTAAAAATTGACAACAGAAATCCAAACTAAGGCTGGTTCTGACAACATCCCAACCTCAACTTTCCTGTGCCCTCTCTGTGCTCAGCACCAAGTGCAACAGAGTTACAATAATGTTGTCATTAGAAACTGGCAAGGCATAGCTACCTTACTCAAACATTTCTATGCAGTTTGGCTGTTCAGCAAATCACAGTCAAAGAGACCAGTAATCATGATAATCAATACACCGACACGTGCCAATAGCCCTTTACTTCTACTTAGTTCTCAAATGCCTATTGTGAGAACCTCTACTACAGGGCTTCTCAACGTGAGGGCCCTGGGCCAGCGCATCAGTGCTTCTGGCACCTGTTCGAAATGAATCAGCCCCTCTGGGGGAGCTCTGATGAGCCTTCCAGTGACTCTGATACACACGGAAGTTTGAAAACCGCTGGCTGAGATGTCTCATAGATTATGCAAGGGTAAGCCACAAGGCAATCACAAGATCTGTGAAATCTTTCATGTAAATAATAGTATATTTTAGTTTTTGAGCAGGAGATGACATCGCAAGACCAATAAAAGACCCATAACATCTGTTTGGCCTATTTCAACAAAGGCTTGTCAACCACGAAAGCAAATGACTTCAACACAGCACTCTAACTGCCGCGTGCTGCTTTTCTGTGAGTGGTGGAGTGTGGCTCCCCTCATTGGCAGTGTTGGAGTCCTGTGCACCACATTATGGGGATCGCTCTCTCTTTTCTAGAAGCTGCTCATCCTCTGGCTCAGTGGATCTCAGCCTTTAGTGTGCATTAGAATCACCAGCAAGCTTTAAGAATTACCGAGGTCTAGACCTCACTCCAGAGACCAGTTGGAACCTGGCATGGCTAACAGACAGTCTTCAAACCTCCTTGAGTGACACCACCATGTGGCTAGAGCTGGCAAGTGGCACCTAAGCCAGTGGTCCTGAAGCCTGCGTGCTTGGAGCACCCCCAGAGTATTGATGAAGCAGAGTCTGATGCCACTCTAGAGACTCACAGGTCTGGGGTTGAGCCTGGGAAGCTGTGCATGCCCCCCACACTGGGGACTGTGCGGTCAGATACTGGCCGCTGTGCCTCTAGGTGTGGCCTGAGGCTGTGCATGTCACCATTGCCTGCCCACACACAGCTGGGGCTCAGGAACCTGGATTTTTACCTGCATCCCAGCTGATCCTTAAGTCCCTTAAAGTTTCCAAAAACCACTGAGGACCCTGTAAGCACCAGAACTCAGGGACCACATGTGTGTCGGTGTCTTTCACCACTACATCCTATGCCCAGCACGCAGCCTGGGAGATAGCTCAGTTATGTATGCAGTTGTTTCTCCAGTCTGAATAAACGATGGCATGAAGCAACAGGGATTTGCGCAGGTCTGCATCCCTCTTCCAGGCCGTCTTGGCTAAGGCTGACCTCCACACGGTCAAGGTTTCTGATTTTTGCTCTGAGGGGCTGACAGCTGAGAACACCCTGAACTTCACACCTGCAAGGACTGGCTCTGGAGTCAGGTGGCTGGGTCAGAATCCTGGCTGTGCCGAGACTGACGTGTGGTAACCTGAGGTGGAGCCTCTCTGCATCTGGTTTCAAGTGTCACAGAGGAGAAGAGATGGCTCCCACAGGACTACTGGAGAGCTAAACCACATAACACAGGGAAAACATTTAGACAGAACTGTGCCTCGAATGCAGCGACTGCTGACTACTGTCCTTCCTTGCTACTGCTGCTATTCCTACTTCTAGCTTATTCAAATGATTCATTAACTGAGAAAATAAGGCTGACAGGAAGCTACGCTTCCGGAATAGCCTACATAGAAGTCTCTCTTGGGACTGAACCGCCATCAGCAGACAAAACGATGTCCCACACGAGCCTGGACCCAGGGCAGGCCCCTTCTCTCAGCTCCAGCAAGAATACACTCTGCCGTTCCCCTTTCTTTGCCACGCTGTGTGGAAAGCGCTCCTCTCGCCAGGGCTTCTCAGGAATTTGACTTGACAACTTGGGTGGGAGAATGGTGTCGGCACACAACGCGTGGCCGCGTAAGGCAGAATGATGACGATGCTGCCGTGAGATGGCCAGTACTATACTCATGTCATCAGCTGTGATTTGCTTCAGCAAAACCACACTAACCATTACACTACATTAATGGGGTGATTTGAATGTTACTGATTTTATAGTTTTGTTTGTATTTAACGTATATGCTTATTTTGTTTTATAGTTGCATAAAAGGTATCTGCGTTAAAATTTATATCAAGTTTTATGTTTATCATACTGAATTAGATTATAATAAACTAATTTAAACCAACCCTGGGGGAGTTTTCTTTTTTTCCTTGAAAAGGGGCCTCTATGTTTTCAGTCGAGAAACAGCGCTCTAATGGATACATTTTGAGGGCACATCAGGCTTCTTACTCGCAATGGATCATGTTTCAAAGAATTATAACACTACACCTATGGCAAAAAGAACTAAATATGTTGCAATCTCCCTCCTCTGATGAAGCACATCAAAACTGAGAATGTTTCCACGCCATAGTTTCTGTGTTTGGTTGGATAGGAAGAAAAAAAATAAAAATTATAAGAGCATGCCTGAATTTAAAAAGTTCAACAGTGTTGAGAAGAAACCTTTCCAGTTCTTATCCCTGGTCTTCATAGTCTCAGAACATGACAAGTGACGTCTGTCATCCAGAGGCAAATGATTCTGTGTTCAGCCAGCTTGTCAGCGTGCTCATTTCAAATGGCAAAGTGGTGTCACCGTTTCAGCACCGGCTCCTCAATTCTGGACCATCACAGGTTCTGCTGGCGTTCCCTCTCTTGTGCGGAAGCCATTGTTTTGAACATCCTTTATCTCTGAATTTAGACACATTTGGGACTCCTGATTAACTGAATGCTAAACAGCTGAAGGGCTTCTGAACTATTCTTGGAAAAATCACCACCAAGAGCACTTTCTCTATTGGAGGGAATCAGAAGCACTGACTTTCTAAATACAAGACAGACGTGTGCACTGACCAGCGACCTGGAAAAGGTGTCCCCCTTGGCGGCCAGGTCTCGGCTCGGCTCAGGGAAGCGGAATTACCTGCAGCGCCAGCAGCCGAACGCCTTCCAGTGGTTTATCAGGGTCCACTTTAACTTCCTGTGTTCTGGCAAAAACGTCTAGGTCTTTGATGTTTTGGCAGGCCAGATAAGACCCCTAGTTAGGCAAATAGACAGAGGTGCACTTACTTCAAGGACGAAGAAGCGAGCATTTTTCTGGGGGGCATCAGGATTTACTTTAATGGTCCTGGCCGTTTTGAACGCCTGCAAGCGTGGGAGTTGCTCAGCAGCATGAGAAGCGCCCTGTTTCCAATGCAATCGCACGTTACTGAAAGGACAGCACGCTCTCAGGCCAACTGCAGCCCAAGCAGCTTGGCCCAGAATCTCACCCAGACAGGCACTAACAGTCACCCAAAGAAACATCTAAGGAAGTAGTGTAAGTAAGGAAAGGGATTTCAGAAAAGGAGCCTAATCCCACTTGAGTTTTAATTTTGAAATAAAACACGCACCCCAAGAAGAATACAAATCACGAGTGCAAAATGTGATGATTTTTCACAAAATGAAGACTGCTGTGTAACCACCACCAAAATCAAGCAACAGCATGACCTGGAAGCCCCACCTCTCTCCTGTTTCATTCATTTTTAAAGATTTCTACATGATTCTCTACATCCTTCATCTTTTCCTCTGCCAAGATACATTTCTCTCTCTGGGGTCAGAAGCATGAAAACAAAACACAGTAACAACAGAAAATCATCAAAAGAGCAGTTTTTCAAAGGGACAGGACAGTCTTGGAACCACCTCAGCTGAGGACCAGAGAAGGTGGAGCTTGTTGTGAAGAAGCCAGGCTTGGGGAGAGACAGTCCCGATAAAATGGGGTGAAGCAAGCAAACAGCTAAGTCCTTCAGGCCAGAGAGAGCATTTTTGACAAGCGCTTTCTTTTTCTCTTGGAAAACAGGCATGCCAAAGATTATGAACTGTTGCACTGCCTCTTTCAACTAACCTTTTGTTTTCTGTCAACCCTGTTAGGAACAGCCATCTTTGATTGTCTTACATTTTGATCAGCTGGGAAACTGAGGCCCAGCATCGTTAGGCTGGCAAGGCATTCACTTCTTTCCGAAGGCGCTAGAGCCTGGACTTCCAGTTCAGTACCCTTCACTCCCTAACGCTCTTAGCAGGGTCAATTTTGTGAAAAGCCATCACAACAATAACATGCTTCTGGCCAGGATAAATATTTTACTTTGTATCATACAGAAAATAGCAAGTAGCACCACTTCACCTACAGACAACCAAGCCGCCCTGCACAGAGAGGCAAGAGGCTCCAGGTGAAGGGTAAACGACGTCTCTAAACGCTAAGGACGCCCTGGCCAAATGGTGTTGATTTCACACCACTGCTCACTGCTCACCACATTCTAATCCACCTTGATGCAGTACGAGAATTTTATTACGAGTGTTATTCATTTAGGAATATCGTTTTCCTTTTCCAGACTCCAGAAATGTGTCAGTACCTTAAAGTTGGGAATCCTGTGATGAACAGGTCGGGGAAAGTCAGCTAAATTTTGTGATTCCATGTGGTCCCAAATTTGCTCACGAATGTCCTGTTTGGAGACACCTACTGCAACAAAAGATTCCCACTTAATAACAAACAAAGGAATTCCACAGCCCATGCTGAAAGCCTGCTCCAGTTACACGCTCAGCTCCCTACACAGGAGTTCATGACTATGCCAGACCAGATTGAGAGGTTTTTTGGTCTCTACATTGAAAAATGTAGTAAGTTTTTTTTTTTTTTTTTTTTGAGGTGCAGTTTCGCTCTCGTTGCCCAGGCTGGAGTGCAATGGTGTGATTTCGGCTTACCGCAACCTCCACCTCTGCCTCCCGGGTTCAAGCGATTCTCCTGCCTCAGCCTCCTAAGTAGCTGGGATTACAGGCATGTGCCACCACATACTCAGGAACAATTATTAAAGTTCAGAGTAAATTAAACATAGCCCTAATATTTAATCCAGTTATACTAACCTTGTAGCAGTAGGGGAGCTAAATACAACTCAAGCCTTGTAACCAAGCCCTCCTAGAGTCCTTGCTTGGGGACTCAGGTTCTGTTCATGTAGAGAAACTGTCATCTCAGTCTATTCAGTCTTGATATAACTAGGATTTGCTTATTCTTGCCATAAGTCAGGTAAGCTTGCCTTAAAACTAAGTGATCTATAAGACAGCTATTATTTTGGATTACTGACTGCAATCCCCTTTATTAGTGTGGGCTTAATAATTAAATGACCATGTTGGCCTCATCTCCTGTCATTCCTCACTCTGAATCCAAAAGGTGGCTCAAGGACTGTTCTTCCCTAGCCCCAACATACCTTTCCTACCTCCGTCTCCCTTTCAGGCCTGTACCTCCTCTGCTCTCCCTCAGGTCTAGCTTAGATTCCACCTCCCCCAGGAAACACTCTTTGAGCGCTGTCTCAGGTAGATGACCCTCCTTTAGAAATCTAAAGAGTACCCATACCATTTGGGCTTTTTTCCCAAACTGGAACAATTACTACAAGGTTACCACATGCATCACTTTCACTAACAGCCCAGAGGGCCTGGAATATCCCCAGCCCTGCGCAGGGTACCCTGTGGGACACAAGAAATGTAACACTGTGGCCCCTGTTCTGGAGTCAATTAATCCCATAACAGTGATTCCCCCTAATAAAGCAATGGGCTAACTGGTAGGGGGAGGGGTCATTGCAAAAGAAAAGGGCAGGGCCTTTCCTTTGGAAAGTTACAAAAACATGAGAAATAATTAAAATAATAAAAGGTGACACATAGTAATGTGTGAAATGCCTGAACCCTATTCTGTAATTGTCTGTTTGCTCCCCCAGCAGGCTGCGGGCCCTGCTGGGTCAGCGTGGGTCTCATTCACCCTTCAGTCTCCCGTCCCAGCTCAGTTCTGGCACAGGGCAGGCATCCCAAAAGGTCACTCTAACCATGACGGCATATGATCACCCTCTGTCTATGTATTGTGTGCATGTTGCACACGTAGTATGGGTGGGAGTGGACCTGTTCACAGCTGGGGTTCCGGCATTTAACTGACCCTGGCACACCTTGTGTACTAGTAGTATGGGGTATCTGCCAGGCAATCCTGCGAGCAATCATCCACCCCTTCCCCCACTAGCGAGTGACTTCCTACAGGCCAGGGGCTCTACCGGAGGAAGCCTCGCCAGTGCCCAGAGAGGGCCCCGCGCGGACAGGGCTTCCACAGCCATCTGTTAAGACCACAGCAGTTAAGCGACCCCCGCGTGTAAGTCAAACCGGCTTCCGATCCTGCCCCTGAGCCTCAGTTTCCCCGACCTCACGGGGCCCACAGGCTCCCCGACGCGCACGGCAGGTGTCCCTCCCGCCTTGTTTTCCCGTTATCTTTATTTGGTTGGACCCGAACCCAGCACAGACCCTCTCCGACCCCCTCGCCCGCCTCCGGTGATTCTGCGCCATCCTCTGCCAGCCCCCGTGGCCCCGCCTCGACCCTCACCGGTCCCGGCCGTCCCTCCCCACTCCCAGCCGCCCGGGCGCCGCGCCGCGCCGCGCCGCGCCGCGCCCCTCACCCGCCCTTGGCTCCATGGCGACGCAGTCACCGCGCGACAACTCCCGGGGCAGAGTCTGGCGCGTAGTGACGTCACCCGCTTCGCGCCTGCGCGACGGCGGGAGGGGAGGAGGCTGAGCGGGCGTGGCCCGGGCGCGCATGCGCGCGCGGATAAAACCCGTGCCGGGGACCCTCAGGGACGCTCCCGGGCATGTCGTTCATGCTGTTAGCTGGTCATTGTTGAGCGCCGCCCGTGACAGGCGTTTTGCCAAGCCTTGGAGTTACTGAAAGAACAAGTCCCTGGCCTCTCGGGGCCCATTGCCGGTTGAAACACATCCCGCCTCCTCTTCCAGTCCTAGAGGCCGCCTCCTCCGGAAAGCCGGCCTTGATTGCTCCTCCTGCAGGACGCGGTTCCCTCCTTTGAGACCCTGCAGACCCTCGTGTGCTCACACTTGGACTCAGCCGGCAGCTCTTTAAAGGGTCAGGCAGATGGAGATTCGAAGCCAGCCCAGCCCCGGCGACTGCGCTGCGGACGGCCAGAGGCCATCCTTTGAGAAACGCCCGAGAGGTCAGGGATTCTTACCCTGACCTCTGCATACCCTGAGAAAGAACGAACGTGGCAGCCTGCGTCTGCTCGTCTGTGTCTTTCATGTATGCCAACCTAAGGGTCGGGAAGACCCTAAGGGTCGAGGAGACCAGGCTGCACAGACCATCACGTCCATGCCCTCCCAGGCTCCAGTCCAGCGGGAAGAAAACCAGGGCGTTCAGCCTGGCAGTGCATTCACTTCTTAGGAGAAGACATCCCCCAGCCCCACCCAGCACACACACACATGTCAGGGACCAGCCACTAGGAACCGCTGCCTGAGCGAATGAAGGCATCCCCGTAGCCACGTGCCTGGCACATCACAAGCACTCAAAACGTGGCTGCCACCTTTCGAAATTACATGCCCAAAACTTTATGAGACCCTCACAACACGCTTGTGAGACAGACAAAAGCGTCTGAATGCCTGCCCACTTGACCAATACAGAAAATGGTGTTCCGTGTTCAAGCGACTTACTCACGTCTGCCGGTAACTGGTACTGTGCCGTTTGACCTCCTTAGGACATAATTAATGATGGTAATTAGCAGTGCTACGATGTGCCAGGCATTGAGCTTAGCGCCTTAAAAGTCATAGCTAAATATGTTTCACAACAAACCGTCAGAGGCAAATGTGACCCGCCTTCTACGGAGGAGACAACAGAAGCTCAGACATGTTCAAGAAGCTTGGCCTGAGTCTCCCAGCTGGGAAGGAACAGAGCAGTGATGTAGCCCTGACAACGTGCTTATTTGCAACTCCTGTGGGTCCCATCATAACTCTGTCTCTCTCTTTCTATGTGGTGTCCGCAACATTAATATATAGAGACACCGAGGAGCCTTAGTTCTGCTTGTGGGTGGATCTGTCTTTCACCAGGCTGGCAAAAGGAGTGCAAACATCATTTTGGAGGTGATAAAATCTCTCAAAGAGGTTGGATGTCCTTTCCCCCTTTCATGGAAGCACGGATCTGCAGAGAGTGTTTTTATGCAAGTAGCCTTGGTCCCAGCGGTGGAAGTGTGTGCAGGATTCCGTTCCCCAGCTGTGCTGGAAACAGAGCCCAGGTCTCTCGGAGGGACAGCCTGGCACGGCCCCCAGAGGGTAACAAGACGCCAGGGACATTCTGCCAGTGGCAATTTTAGAAAGCAGGTGGTGCTAGGAAGGACATTCTCTTCAGTTCCTCCGTACCATGTTTTCAAGTTAGAAGTGCCTCAAAAAGCATGTACACCCAGCTCCTTGAGGGGGTGAGGCAGAAGGTCACTTGAGCCGGGGAGTTTGATGCTGCAGTTAGCTGTGATGGCACCACTGTACTCCACTTGGGCGACACAGCGAGAACTCCTCTCTGAAAAACATAATAATAAATAAAAATAATAAATAGTAATAAAAGACCCCTTAGAAGAAATCAACGGGCTCTTTTATGCAAGGAAGATGCTCTCAGGATAAATAGCTAATGCATGTGGGGCTTAACACCTAGGTGATGGGTTGACACGAGCAGCAAACCACCATGGCGTGCATTTACCTATGTAACTAACCTGCACATCCTGCACGTGTATCCTGGAACTTAAAATAAATTTTTTTAAAAAAGAAGGCGCAATTGAACTTTAACTCAAATACTTAAAACTCAGTCACATATGTAAATTTGCATTTGGGCACCTCAGGATTTTTTTTTTTTTTTTTCGGTAGACTTTATCATTTAGAAAAGTTTTGGTTTGGCCGGGAGTGGTGGCTCACACCTGTAATCGCAGCACTTTGGGAGGCTGAGGTGGGCAGATCACTTGAGGTCAGGAGTTTGTGACCAGCATGGACAACATGGTGAAATCCCGTCTCTACTAAAAATACAAAAAATTAGCTGGGGTTGGTGGCTCACGCCTGTAAGCCCAGCTACTCAGGAGGCTGAGGCAGGAAAATCACTTGAACCCAAGAGGCGGAGGTTGCAATGAGCCAAGATTGCACCACTGCACTCCAGCCTGAGTGACAGAGCGAGACTGTGTTTCAAAAAAAAAAGAAAAAAAAAGTTTTACTTCACAGCAAAATTAGGCAGAAAGTACAGAGAGTTCCCCTATACCACCCCTGCCACTGCATTTATACACAGGCTCCCCCACTATCAACATCCTGAAGTGGAATGGTACATTTGTTACAATCAATGAACTTACACTGATACATTGTTACCATTCAACAGCCATAGTTTACATTAGAGCTCAGGCTTTATGTATGTTCTGGGGTTTTGACAAATGCATAATGGCATGTGCCCATCCCTGGAGTATCATGCAGAATATTTTTACTGCCCTACAGATCCTGTGTGCTCTGCCTTTTCTTCCCTCCCTCCCTCCCTGCTAACCCCTGGCAGTTACTGGTCTTTTTTCTTTCTCCATAGCTTTTTCTTTTCCCAAAAGTCATATAATTGGAATCATACACTGTGTAGCCTTTTCAAACAGGCTTTTTCCACTTAGTAATATGCAT